TCTCAAGATGAGATACGTATCCACTTTGAGTGAGGACTACGCTTAAATCTTTTTGCACAATTATGAGAAGAAGCTCGAGCACCTACTTCATCGAGATCCGGATCTGTTCTGAGGAGAAAACGACTCGCCGAGTCGTGTGTGTACTTGAAATAGTCTGTCGAATCCTGCCACAGGATCCTTTACAGCAGTTGCTGCAGGAAAAACGCGCGCTCCTGTATCATGAATGTGAGTGTAATTCAATTTATCAATAACTCATCGTATTTCGAATTCAATCGTGTATCTCATTACGATTTTTTTTGTGTCTGGGAATCTATGAATGTGATTATCTCTTGCATGCTGATAGTATATTCTTCTGTGATATGATCATTTGTTGTGTTAATTATATAATTTTTTTGTAATATATGTCTCATTAATGTGTTGCTCCTGAAAAAGAAAAAAAACAGTATGTTACTTATGTGGTTTAAAGTCAGTCGTAATCTTCTTCTCTCACGTGTTATAAACTATTTTCAGAATATTCCTGTTCTACATTATTCTGGCACACAGTAGATGGTAATTTGATTATGTAACTCATGTTGAATTATTGACCTAAAAATCTTGATAAAGTTGTTTTTGATGACAACTGTGGAATGTAATTATATTATTCTATCTATTTTTAGTTTGAAGTGTATTTAAGTAACATAAACTTGTGCTTTCATTTGCAAGGGAGTCTTCTTTTCAGTTGCACTTTCTCACATTTAAGGACATACATATATAATTCAAATTTGTATAGAAGGAGAAATAAAAAAGAGAAAGATGTAAAACATTTTCAAAGGTGCAGCTAAAAACAGACTTTTTGTATAACAGTACTTATTTTAATATAGATTTTTATTTCCTTTCTTTTTTGTAAATAATATGAATAGGAAGTAAAAATATGTAATAATTAGACATATTTTTATTCTTAACAATGAACAAGTTTAATAAACAGCAATATACTTACATATTTAAAGTATATTGTTAAAATGTTTATATTTTTGTGTATGTGTGTGCATGTATCTATTAAACTATACTATATGTTGTATATTTTATCTATTTTAAATTAATTATTTTAATTATTATTAATTCCAATTGTATTAATATATTATAATTTTTATATTATTTTTGAGTTTATCTGGATAATCATGATTCAAGTTTCATCCTTTATATTTATAAAACATGACTAAATCATATTAAATTTGTTGTTCATATTAAATTATGTGCTTAAATGTCTTATTAGCATGGTTGATTCAGTGTCTAATCTATTTAATTCTCAACAGGTGGTCAGCATAGCAGAGAGGTGGTGTCGAGAAGGTGGTTGACACGCCTTCATTTATTTGAGATGATTGAAAGTGTATCACGCAGAGCGTTGAGTGGCTCCAGTGGGAGCTACCACGTTCGTGGTGCTGAACTAGCAAAGAATCGCAGATTAAAATCTTTATCAGCTATCGTTACCTTTCTTGATGATACACAGCATACATTTCAATTAGATGTAAATATAATATTTTTCTTATAGATTTATGAGCGATAATGATGAAGTCATATTTGAGTATAATAATAAATGTGTATATGTTTTTACAGAAACGAGCAAAAGGACAAATTCTATTGGACTTGGTATTTCAACATTTAGAACTCATTGAAAAAGATTATTTTGGCTTACAATACTCTGAAAATGGAGTTAATACAACTATCCCTACATCTGATACAATGGTAACATTTTAAAAATTACAATTGTATATAATAAAAAATTAATTATTCTATTTCTTTCAATATTATTTAATTTAGAAAAATTTATTTTAAAGGCATAATATTTTTGCACCTATTTTTAGGCCCATTATTATTCATGTAATATATTAATTTTTAATGCTTAAAAATTTTTAGAGATGGCTGGATCCCTCTAAACCGGTGAAAAAGCAGATAAGAAGTAAGGGTAAAGATCGTATTTTTTAAAACGAAATATCTTCAAATAATATGGAAACTGAATATATTTTTATACTTTGTAGTATATTTATATTTCTCGCATCTTTTATACAACTGATATATAACAAAATATACATACATTTATTTGTTTCAGGTGGACATTTCTTTTTTGCAGTAAAGTTTTATGTATCCGATCCTAGTAAATTACAAGAAGAATATACCAGATATCAATTCTATTTACAAATAAGAAGAGATATTCTTCAAGGAAAACTTCAATTGCCAACCAGTACAGCTTGTTTAATTGCAAGTTATACAGTTCAATGTAAGAGCATATTAGAAATAATATAATAATTATATATTATTTTGAAATACAATCATTAATAGAGCAAATTAATATATTGAGTCTTTATTTGATGCACTTATAGCGGAATTAGGAGATTATCATCCAGAGGAACATGGGCCAGGCTATCTTTCACAATTGCAATTAATACCTGGACAAACAGAAGAAATGGAGAAAAAGATATCAGAGTTACATAAGTTACACAAGTTCGTACACTTTATAATTCTTAATATATTTATAACTTAATATATTCTTGTAAATTTTGTTTATTTTAGTAGCAGTAAAATGTACGCTTTTTTTATTTATAGGGGACAATTGCCGGCTGATGCAGAATTTAACTTCTTAGATCATGCAAAGCGTTTAGATATGTATGGAGTAGAGTTACATAAAGCCAGGGTACATATAATGCCTATTAGATAAAAAAAATTTTTGTAAAAGAAGCGCGCAATATATATACAGATATTTCATTTATTTTATAGGATTCAACAAATAAGGAAATACAATTAGGTGTTACATCAATTGGTCTCGTTGTGTTTCAAAATGGCATAAAAATCAATGTGTTTTCATGGTCAAAAATAGTTAAAATTTCTTTTAAAAGAAAACAATTTTTTATACAACTTCGACGAGAACAGGTGGGTATAATTATTATTTGTAATATATGTATATGTGCTTTTTTTTGTGAATTTTTGAAGATATAAATTAATAATTTTGTGTTGCAGTCTGAAAATTATGATACATTATTGGGTTTCAACATGCAAACTTATCGTAGTTCTAAAAATCTGTGGAAAGCTTGCGTCGAACATCATACCTTCTTTAGGCTTCACAGTCCAAAAATGCGACCAAAACGGTTTCCCCTCACTTTGAGTAGCAGATTTACATATTCAGGACGTACAGAATTTCAAACAGTTGAAGATGGAAAGCACAGAGCACGAGTGGAAAGGACATTTATACGGTATAATTCTATCAATTAATAATAATATAAAAAATTAATTCTGCACAGAGAAAAGTTTTCATTATTATTTACTGCAAAACTCACTATAAATTATTATATTTGATAATAAGTCAAAAATTACCATGTTACATGTTAAAATTATCATGAGCGATTACCATCATGAAACCGGATTGAAAATATTATGCTGCATTGTAAAATTTATATAAAATATTTTATATGTTTATCACTTTATTGGTATATATATTCTATTTAAAACACATTTAAACAATCAAGAATTTTTAACATAATTTTTAATATATTTTAAAATTATTGAAATTTTACTATATATTTTAGTAAAATGAAACATATTTTATATCTTATTTTAACAGAATATTTTTTATTGTGATAAATATTAAGAGAAACTCATAAAATTTTCCAATACTATATTGTCTCACGACTACCATGATTTTTAGGATAAATTTTAAGAGAAAATTCTCTGTGTACATTTTTATCTGCAGATAATCTTTTTTTCATAGAGATTTAACATTTAGATCACCTAGCAAGAAAATAGCTCATGCTATTACAACGGCAGCTATTACCGACGATAAAGGAAAACTGACAATACCTCCTGGAAGATCATCGCGATCTTATGACAATAAGGTTCAATCCCTCGGTGCTCGGGAACCTCGTCAAGCTTGGGGTGAAGGAAATCAAAGTGACGAGTTAGTACATACAATAGAGAGAGTTACAATTATATAAGCATATTCCAGAACTATTGTCACTTTTTTAACTCTACATAATTAATTAACAGATGGAAGATCAAATAAACAATAAAACTTTGTAAATTAAATTTACAAAATCTATAGATGGAAGAAGGGACAATCGTTCTGGAAAACATACAATATAATTTTTTACATTATAAATTGTATAACATGTCATTCTCATAAAATTATATCAATAGTAAGAATAATATGCAATTAATCTGCATAATGTGTACATATATAATCTTTTTTAGTATCCTTACAATTAGTTTCATTTATCTTCTCTTATAGTGAAGGTGGTTTTTTATCTTTGAGGGAAGAAATAACAGGAAGCTACACGCAAGGTGGAGCATTTTCTCCAGCATTAGGATCTCGAGTATTCAGTTATGCGGATGACGATACAACTGCTGAAAGAAATATTTATGATCTGCCAGATTATAGTGAACCTACTAGTTCGCCAGCTCCACAAGTAAATATATTTTATGAAAATACAACAGACAATGATAATTAAAAACAATTATATACTAATTTTTATACAATCTAAATTTATTATTATTTTAGATATTAGAAGATGGTTTAGTAACAATATCTTTAACGCCAGACGAACAAGGTCGTTTTGGTTTCAATGTAAAAGGAGGATTAGATTTGGATATGCCGATTTTGGTATCACGAGTAGCTCCAAATACACCCGCTGATCGTTGTTATCCAAAACTGAATGAGGGAGATCAGGTACGTATTTATTTAATATATCTCAAATTATTAGTAATTTGGAGATATATTAAATATATATTAGCATATCGCTCAATACAATTGTACAGAAAAAATCCAGAACTCACGTCACTTGAATCAAAGAAACCGGAAAATCAGTCGAAAAATTGCTATCGAGATATATCACCATGTAAATAAAAAAATGTTTTTATTTTATTTTATTTTATTTATTTATTTTTTTATTATATTCTATCCCTATTAGATTGTCATAAGTATATCTGCGTAATATCTCTTTATTAATCATAAAACATGATTTTCTACGCAGGTTGTTTACATCAACGGAATTGACGTGAGCGGTTTATTGCACGAACGCGTGGTGAACTTAATACGACAGTCACGCGATCGCGGATCCGGCGAACTTACCTTAACTGTCAGACCGAACGCTCTGTACAATGCATTAGCTGGTACCGACGAAACTTCTGAAGAAGAACCGCCTTATAGGTATAAAATCTTAAATTATACTTTGAAATCAAACATAATTCACGCTAAATCTAATCTATATAATGTAATAAATTGCAAGGTATGTGCCTGATGCACCTCATGCAACCATTGGATCTGATGCACTGGCACAATCTATGTTATTGCTTGCGGATGGTCTGGCGAGTGGTGCTCTTATCGCTCAATACGAACAATTGTACAGAAAAAATCCAGAACTCACGTCACTTGAATCAAAGAAACCGGAAAACCAGTCGAAAAATCGCTATCGAGATATATCACCATGTAAATAAACAAAAATTTTATTTTATTTTTAACAAATTGGATATTTATATTGTCAAGTTGCTTAAAAAATCCACTTACGAGAGAAGCAGCAAAACGATAATATCTCAGAATATCGCAAGTCAGTACGTAATAATAATAACACGATACTTGTGTCTTTCTAGATGATGTTACTCGAGTGATCCTAATGGGATCTGCAAATGGAGATTACATTAATGCCAATTATGTGAATATGGAAATACCAGGTTCAGGCATTATTAATAGATATATCGCTACGCAAGGTCCCCTGTCTTCCACCGTTGCCGACTTTTGGCAAATGGTTTTAGAAGCCGGTAGCACGCTTGTCGTTATGCTGACAACACTAGTTGAACGTGGTCGTGCAAAATGTCACCAATATTGGCCGGCATATAACGAGACGCTCACATTAAGGAATCTCACACTTACGTCAACTGCAGAAAATATCGAAGATACATTTATTTTTAGAGAATTTATACTTCGTGATGTTAATGTGAGTAAAGTTTCCTATTATTGCGCACAACTAGTTGTATTTCTTTATATATATATATAAAGAAATATATATATATATATATATATATATATATTTTAGTACATCAATTAATAATATTAATATACATATAATAATATAGTTATTTACATATGTAAATAGACTTATAAAATATGTATATTAATACATTCTGATATATTTTTGCAGACTGGAGAAGAAAGAGATATAACGCATATGCAGTATTGTAGCTGGCCTGACCATGGAGTGCCGAATGATTGGCGACAATTTACTACGTTTACAGAGAGAGTTAGAGCAGCTCGTACTGGAATAGTCGAACCTGCGGTTGTACATTGTTCTGCTGGAATAGGACGAACTGGTGTATTAGTTTTAATGGAAACTGCGCTGTGTCTAATTGAAGCTAATCAACCGGTATATCCGTTAGATATTGTACGCTCTATGAGAGATCAGAGAGCAATGATGATACAGAATGCTGTAAGTTGATGATCTTGTTTATGTTGCTTATTATCGTACAATATTGATATCTATTTAAATAATATTAATTTTGCATTTATTCAAATAAAAATATTTGAATATATGTGTGTGATATCTTTTCAGAGTCAATATAGATTTGTGTGTGAAGCAGTCCATAAAGCCTATAGTGAAGGGATAGCTAAACCACTTCCAGAGTTCAGTAGGTGAAAATAAGAATTTAAAATGGGCAGCGTATTATAATTATAGCCATTTCTTCTCTTACATCTTGCATCAAGCATCATGTCATGTTAGAAGGTAATTTTATACTTTGACAATAAACACATAATATATTTAATATAGTATAAAATGAACTAGTAAACAAACATTCACACATTGTGTGTGTATGTGTGTGTGTGTGTGTGTGTAAAGTATATATCTCATTTATACATAACACTGACGTCCAATTCTCAATGTTATACTCAAAATTGCTATTTCTTTATAATTCTATCATGCGCAATTTTGATTTAGTATTCTAATATGTATGTGTGATTAATCCATTTCTTCACACCAAACGTTGTATCATACAAAATGTGATCATATTTTTTTTAAGTATATATTAATATTTTATAATAATTTTAAATAAATTTTTTTTCTGCATGTAATGCGATGTATGTGGAAATCGTGAAAAAAGGCAATGTACTAAGTTATATCATTATCAAAGTAAAATAATTAGATTTAGTTATATAACAAAAATTATAAACTACAACATAATTTCAATGCAATTTTAAATGCTGTAAATATATATATATATATATATATATATATATATATATATATACGAATCAGTTAAATTAATTTTTACATACCAATTCTTAAATGGAAGTTTTGTGCATGTATGTTTTATTAGTGAACATAACAAGAATTATTATATTATATTATGGAAATACCTGTAAAGCAGCATATATTTTTACATAAACTTTCTTACATTAGATAAATTAAAAATCGATTTTTATTTTTTTTATGAGCAACATGTATTTATAAACATATAAAAATTAAAATTTTTTTTGACATTCAATATGTTGAAAAGACCAGTGATATCTACAAAAAATAATATTAATGCATAAATTAATATATATACACCTCAAATTCAAGAAGTACAATTACGAAAATAATTGATGAGAAGTTTATATAGATATGATAAAATATAAAATAAAGTATTGCACGCAATCTAAACAAAATATATACAAATTAAATAAATTTTAATATATACTAGATATTACGGATTTAGCTATTATCACATCAACTGTCAGAATGGTAAACTTGAATTTGAAAATAATTTTTTTAATATAATGTATAAATTCGATAAACTTAATTATAAAAATAGTGAAAATAAAAAATGCGACAACTCGTATCAAATTCGTGTTATGCGTTAAATTCATCAAGGAATCATTATCATTAAACAATTGATGTGGTAAAAATTGGGCGATTTGTCTAATACAATGCAAAACTCCATCCTAAAGAATTAATCATACAGAAACTATTTAAAAAAGGCACAAGATGAAGTACAATCTTCAATATTGGCAGCTTAAGACAAACTAATATAGCTATCTTGTTTACATAAAATAATATGGTTGTATTAAAATGAATCAAAAAACTGTGTAGAACCATAAAAGTATGTTTTAGTCCTCTTTTATTTTATGAGATAAAACACACAGCTAAACAATTTAAATGCTATGGAAATGTAATATTTGACGAAAAAAGTTTTTATTCACATTTCACATTTTTTTTCAAAATATGCATATTTAAGATATGTGTAACTGTTCTTTCTGAGATACTGTAATAGTATTAACTAAGTAAAGTTAATTCCAATATTTAGAATACTAATGATATATAAATGCTACATCTGATTTGAATATTATAATATTTATGATAAAATCAGAAAGAAATATTTTTATCGGCTCTCAATATTAAGAATATAAATATGATGTTTTTTTTAAATCGGCCAACAGAGCCAAAGCACAAAAAATTAATTATTCGGAACTGTATCTCTTGGTTTGAGATCACTAAGTTTCATATATAAATTAATCTCGAAACTTACATATGAATTAGTTGGTAAGAGCAGTCGCCCGGAAAGTGAAAGAGTTCGATTCCCGCTTCAGCGACTTTTCGGACCTATATTTTTCGCGCCTATTTCTTCATATGTAAGTTTCGAGATTAATTTATATATGGAACTTAGTGATCTCAAACCAAGAGATACAGTTCCGAATAATTAACTTTTCGTGCTTTGGCTCTGTTGGCCGTTTTAAAAAAAGACATATTTATATTTATGATAAACATATACTCAATATTTAAATTTTATTTTATACTTAGAGTCCCAACTTTTTCTCATAAAATACACACACTTAATCAATATACATTATAATGCATTAAATTATAAAATTTAAATATACTGAGCATATATTTATCATATATATAAATATTAAGATCTGTAGCATTTATATTTTTATTAGTATTCTAAATATTAAAGTCAACTTTACTTAGCTAATAATTATTAGATATTATTAAGATTACAAACCTGTTCTCATTATTAAATGTTTTAAACAATTGTATTATCTTCTAATAGATGTTCCATAGATTATTTATTTTTCACACATTTAACCAGATAAATGTACTAACATATCTCTATATGAAATTTTAGCTTCCTAATTGACTTCACGAATGTCATACGAACTCTTTTCTGTTAAAATATTTGCTGAATTTTTTAACAATATATAATATCTCATCATGTATTATATATACACATCGTTTCAATCTATTTTTATAATAATACAAAAAACTGGTACTATACAAACATTATTGAAAGGCTACCGATCTGTAATCTTTCATGCACGGTTAAGAGAATAGAAGTTTCTCTTTAACTAATTTTAAATTATCTACATAAAAAGAAAGATATAGCCATTTTTTCTTACCATTATTTGCAAAATTTTCTACTAATTAAAATGGATTTATATTCTTTTGATAATGCATGAAAGAATAAAAAAAATGAATTATATATATATATATATATATATATATATATATATATATATATATATGTATGTATGTATGTATATATATGTATATATAAATCTATCTTTATGTCGATATATAATAAGTTTATAATTTGGCAAGATAAATTAAAATTAGTAAGAATGACATTATATAAGAAAGAAGGAAAAAATTAAATATGCTATTAATACATATATATTATAAAGCATGTACATATTAGAAAACAATATTAGTGTGCATAAGTAAATTATATTTTTCCTGATTTACATTTTGCAACATGTGTATGTGTGCGCATGCACACACAAAATCTCTATAATTTATTATACATATATTACACATTATATAACAAAATCAAAATTTTATGCAGATAACAAATTAAGTAGTTACATTTATGAATACATCAAAGTAAAAAAAGATAATTCAATAAAAAGATGCAAAAAATATGAGCACACAAAAACAAATTTCTGATGATAGTAGGTAAAAAAAAAATAAAATGATTATGTATATTACATATATAAAATGAATTTGATACAAATGTCAAAAGTTATAAATTTTCTTGTTATTTAACTTGAAATAATTGTGCACTTGTCTTGCAAATATGAAATGCACAACACAACTATTTTTTACATGTATGCAAATGAAAGTATCTTTAATTGAATATATGTGTTATATATCAATGTCTTTATAATTGCAATAACAATATTATACATTGAACTATTTTTCCAAAACTTGCTCAGTATATTGTGCGTGTCGATTAAAAACAAGTAATAAATAAAGTTTATTAAAATTTATTATTTTAAATACATTTATATCAGTCAAAGTTTTAGACTGTAGTGCCTTGTACATAGTCTCCCCATATATAAGCGCAATCATGTTAAATATAAAATATCTAAATTACGTGCTGTATAATTTCGCTTCTAAAAAGTATTAATGGCATATAAACAAATGCAGAAATATAATTAGCCTTACAAATCTTGATGGTAATATTATTATAGATGTCTAGTCTCGTTTATACTTTTGGAATATAAAATAAAATTGTTGCAAAACAATTTTCCTACAATTTTTCTTTCCTGAGTTATTTATTTTACAATTACAAAATAATTAATCGTAATTAGAAATTTAATATTTATATATATACATACATATATATATGTATGTGTATTTGTGTGTATGTATATATACATACAGTAAATAAAAAATGTTTAGATAAAATAAGAATAGAAATAGATGCAATATAAAGTTATAGTTCAACAATTTATTTAATTTGCTAAAGAAGTTGAAGCTGTAAATTACAAGATGACTTAGAAATTAAAAAGAATGGTCCTTCCTGACCAGGTATGTATGTTGAGGGAATAATATGATATGTTCCTGCTGGTACATCTTGCAGTTCCAAATATACAAATCCGGATCTGTAAATAGGAATAAAGATAAATCACAAATTCTTATTCAAAAATATATAAACACGAAAAATATTTTTTATAGAGATGTATGCAAAATATTAAAGTACAAACCTAAATGCTCCAGAAGTTTTAGTTTGAAATGCAGTCGTTGCATTTACATCATTTAATACAACGGTATTAATGTCAAAGCCTATTTGATACTGTTTAGGTCCTTTCAAAATAATTAATAAATAATTATTATTATTAGCACTTTCGAGTATTATTTGATATCGTGGATTATTCGTGTATGTCGGATGATTGCCACATCCTCCTGCTGTAATACCCTTCCATTGACCTGTTACCTGTCACAGATTATATTAATATGTACATATAAAATATTAATCTATTTAGAAATTTAGTTAGAGAAAGAAAATATAATTTTAGAAAAATGTCTTAAAAAGAAAGGTATACCTCTTTTTCATATTTAAACAATTGAGGTATTTTTTGCAATATGAATCGACATGTTCCATATGCACGAAGTGTATAATAGATTGTATTCGTTTTCTCATACTGAGATATGACCAAAGTATATTTTGTGTCACTTTGCTCTCCAAGTTTGATTTTACACAAATAATGCGGGCTATTTATTTTCACACCCTCAATATATGGCGGTGGATCATCTAGATAATTTTTATCATATAACTATCATTACTAGCTAATAATATAAAATTGAAAAGAAAAAAAAATCAAATGTATGCTTACATGGATAATACACTCTTTTTCCGTCATGACGATAAATTAAAACTGTGATATATTCCTGATTTTGCCGGAAATCTGCTATATCTGTAATATGCCTTGTAAGAAGTATCCAAATAGCACCAGATCCTTTGCTAAGTACTTCTAATGAAAATTGTGGATTATCACCAATATTATATGCGTCCTTTACAGGTCCAATACCAGCTTTCCACATTCTGTAATAAAATAGAATTATTCTCTGAACACATGTTACTGCTGTGATAAAAAGAGAGTAACTACGACTACATAATACATAATACAGATACCAAAAAAGTGACTTACTGATGTATGCAATAAGTATAATTAAAGAGTCCTGGATTCCAGTTTAAATAAAATACATCAAAGAATCGACATATACTATCATAATCAATCCAAAAAACACCATTATCAAATTCCGAAGCAGATTCTGGATCGTAGTTCAAAGCTTCCTTCAAAGCTGAAGTCCAATGTTTTATATCGAGTTCCGAATAATTGCCCCTCCATCGCAAATGGGACCATGGATTTTTTAATTGTAATAATCTTTCTCCCTACATGTAATAATACCATTTAAATTAAATACTTAATTTTTCTAAATTTACTAAATTTACAAATCTATAAGACAAATCTATTTAGAAAAGCAGATTGTTATTTGTATTGTGTACTGGAAGATATGTTTAAAACAGATATTAACTAAATAGTTTTTTTGCTTACATTAATCTTTTTCACGTCAAGAACGGCATATGCATGACTCGGTACAAGGCCCGTACGATCTGCATCCAAATCCGATAACTCTCCTGTGGCTACAGTGACTAGTACATCTCCTTTATGAAGTCGTAATAATAAAGTATCAAAGAGATTATCCTTATTAAAATCTGCTTCATTTGGTCTTATCGCCCATCTTTCGGGTATCCAGCCAGTTAAGGCATGTAAATCTATATTCTATACAAAAACAAATGTAATTATATTAAAATAATAATAATAATTATAGAACAAATTAGTAACTGAATGTAAGGAAACTTACACTGTTTGATCCAGGAAAATCATAACCACCCATTACTTTCATATAAGCCTTTTCGAGCAATGAAATCCATAGTTCTCCACGATTGCTAGAGTAGGAACAGAGTAATTGGTTGTATCGGCTTACAGGCAGAAGATCATCTATTATTACTTTACGTGGAATGCCATTGATGTGTAGTTTCACCATGTATTTTCCTAATATTACATGTGTTTATCATTTCTAAAATATACTATATAAATCTATTGAAATACATGCATTTTTTTTTATTTAATTATGCACAGAACAAATTCTCGTATGAACAATAAATGTGCTTTTTAAAAGAATATTTTAATTGCAAATTTAATTGAAAAAAAATATACTATTATTATTATCAAAATTTAAAATTTGTGTTTGTATGAAAAATAAATTATAAACAAAATCATAAGAGGGATATGTGTAAGTGTTTGTACCAAATGTATCTTCTCCATGTAATTTAATGTAAGCATCTTAAGCATAATAGACCATGTACACTATTAATAATACTTATGTTTTATCATCCTACAAATCAATTAAAATTAATAAACTATAAATAATTACCAAATGGGTTATATATAGGCTCCTTCTGTTTATTCTTGGGATAAATAATGGATGTTATAAGTCTTCTCCCAAACTTTTTTTCATATTGAGCACTCACAGCAAGCGAAGCAACAAAAGAACAGTCAGAAACTACCTAAAATGCAAACAATTAAATGTCAACATGCTACATACTAAAAAAAAAAAAAAAAAAAAAAAAAATTTCTGCAATACTTTTAAGTTTAAAACTAACTGTCTGTTTTATGCTGAAGTAGTCAACATGATGACCGATGACCATTTTAGGATCAGAATATAATTCTTCTGGTCGACGAAAACCAGCAAAATCAGGCTTTTGCTTTGGTGCTAGTTCTAATAATCCATCCTTGTCAGTAAATGGAATATGATATTGAAATTTTTCAGCAAGATCAATATTCATAAATGGTACAAACTCATGATCATTTATGTGAGAGCTGTAAAGCAATACTCTTTTCTCCTCTTCAGTATAATTGGTATTACCACCAGTTACTTTCAGATGAGCACTGCTTCCCCGATGAAGCGAAGGTTTAGCATTTCTTACTAAAATTTATTTAAAAATAGATAGATAACGTTTTTCTTATGTAGCTCTCTTTTTGTCTTTATATATTTATATTACCTGGAGTAGTTGATGTATTTACTGGTTGTTCGGGTTGTATTGGTTGTTCAATACTTGGAAAATTAGTTTCTGGTACAGATGGTAGTTTAGCAAGACTTTTCATAATACTGTTATCCTCAGTAGCTTTTATTCCTTTTAATGATTCTGCTCGCTCGACAGCAACTCTAACAAGATTTGTCAATTTTGCTTTTACATCTGCATCAACAGTTTTCTGCAATATCATGTAGACTGACAATGAGATATATCATTAAATATCATATAAGAATTAAGTTAATACTTTTATATAATAGTTGTTAATAAAAATATACTTACTGTACTAAGACCAAGTTCAGCAGCATCAGTGTATAACTTTATTGCGATATCTTTTAAACCTGCCTCATCCGCATCCAATGCTTGGTTCATGAGAAATTTACATCTTTGTAACTCAGACTGATGTAAAGGTTCTGGCTTATGACTCTTTTGTTCCTCCTCATGAACTAAAAATTTCACAAATTATTATATATATGATTTGCACTTGCAACAAATTTCTACATCATCGCATCCAACTCACTAAGATGCTGTATTGATGACATCCTCTCTCGGTAATCTGAAATCTTTTCTCCATACATGTCATCCAATTCCAATTTAGTAAGAAGTTTTACAGCAATATCATAATAATACAAGGCTTGTTTATATTGGCCATTTCTGTCAGATTGCACAGCTCTGCCAGCAGCAAGTAGCGCATCATCTAATGTTTGTGCCATTTTAGTGACGTAGAATGGCAATAAAATTAGAGAAATCCAGGAAATCCAAACTTAATTGACGATGAAATCGCTTTGCTGCCTTAAGTACATATATAAAATTAAAAATTTTTTTTTAATTCACGTGGATTAAAAATTATAAACATAAGAATAGAATAAAGTACCAGAAACTAATAAAACAGTATCAAAAATAGAATAAAAGAGATCATGTTTACATACGTATAGATAAGAAATCCGAATTTCCTAAAATTACGTAAAATCAATTAATAACAAAGTAATTTCAGATTTTTTAATCAACAATAAAAAAAGTGCAGTTTTCAGATTAGAAAACTGCACTTAATGTGTACATACATTACAAAAGTGTAATTGGAATCAACATAGTTTATGGTTAAACTGTGGAATCAATGTCAAACAAAATATTTGAGTTACCTCTCTAGCTAATTCAATTTTCATGGCGGAATATCATGAAAACTCGCCTCGAGATGTAGACAATAAATTTCTATATCAAATCAACCTGCTAAAAAGTTGACATATCGGAATTGCACAAAATCGGACGTATCGCGAGTTATTTTGTGAAATAATAAAATGTACGAGAAAATATGGAACATTTATTTCTGTAATTTTATCAAACGATGTGACTAGGAATTGATGCAGGTTGGAGTTGTGTAACAGATGACAGGTTAATAATTTACTTGAGAACCAATTAACATTTCTATTACACCGGCTTGCTAATCTTTTTTTAATGAAGAAAAAGTCTACAGACGTACAAAAAAATGTAGAAACAATTTACAAAAGAATGAAAATTGTTTTAATATTTTTATTCGTATGTTTTACAATAAAGAAGAAATTTTCTGATTAAGCTTTATAAAATGCCGGTTTTTTTTAAATCAAAACAGTTTATTTAATAAGTTATATAATAAATAATTGCAGGAAATAATAGCACTGAGTAGCATAAAGGAAAATAATATTGGACACAACACATGACAAAAATAAGAATGAATAAAGAAATGCCATTAAATGTAGAATGGATGCCACAAAATGCATATGTGCGCAATTCTTTGGATCATTTGCTGCCAGGTGAACGCAATCAGCGTAATTTTGTATTTGTAAAACAGGAAACGGAATTCTTCGAAAGTGCATTAAATTCACAATCGGTACAAAACACAGTTGTGCATTTGCAAGTTTCATCTAAAGAGAAGGATAAAGAGATCAAGCAAGAAAGCAGTCATTTGGATGCATTAGTAAGATTTGATCTTTAACTTTTTATATATGTGTAACAATTTCTAATGTGCAAATTTTGTATATGTGTAACAATTTTTAATGTGCAAATTATATACTTATTTTCAGTCTTGTCAAGTAGGATCTCTAAATCAATCTCCTCAAAAACTGAAAGATGGTTCTGAGAGATTATATAATAGAGGTCGAATTGATATAATAGAAATGACAGTAGAACCGACATTTTGTTATAAATATTTTTTTGTTTATGAAAATCAACCATCCAAGTTTGTTGTATTAAGAGCTCTCTACAATAACACGGCCAAAGAAGTTGCAAAGAATTTGTTAGATGTATTAGCGATTATAGGGGCACCACGAGTGCTACAAAGTGGTAATGGACGTAAGTTTGCCGAACAAGTTGTACATGAGCTACGCTTATTATGGAAAGATTCTCTCATAATGCATGGGGATGTACCTAAGTGTGAAGTTAGCTGCAGGGATTTTAAAAGCTTGCTTGAATCCTGGATGAGAAAAAATCCTACTAGGGCCTGGTGCGAAGGACTGAATTCCATACAAATTCTTCACAACTCGACATACCATTGTCAGAATGATAAAGTTCCATGCGACATATTATTTGGACGAAATGTACGCGAAAACTTTCAAAGCCTCTGTATAGAAAAAGATACAGAAAGCCTATGGACAGAGGAAGAATGGATCAAACATTTGTCACATAAGGAAAATAGAGATATAATTACAACAAAAGATACACAGAAGACATCGGATAATATCAATGTAATAATACTAATATGTAATGTATATATTATTATCAACATGAAATTATATTCTGATTAATTATTATTATTTTAAATGTTCCAGCATTGTGAAGAAAACGACAATGTACAAGAAAGGTGCAATCAGAAGGCATTTTCGAGAAGTGACAATATAAATGGCTTTAGTTTTGTCAATGTAAAGAATGAATCTTCCACGAGCAATGCACGTGTAACGGAGTCAACGAGTAGAAGTGAAATAAATGTAGGAAAAACCGAATTGAAAATCGAGAGTACGCAATTTCTCAAGTGTAAGTATTGCCAGAAGCAGTACATGAAGCTGGGACATTTGAAGAACCACATGAGAACTCACAAAACACCACGGGTTCTCCGATGCAAATTGTGCAGTAAAACATTCAGCGTCCCAAGATTATACGCGAAGCACATGAAACAGTCTCATGGGCAAGATAACTTAGCTGGCGAGGAAGAGGAGATACCGGTTAGTAGAAATACTAGAAGCAACGACGCAGCGAAGACTCTATCTAATGAAAGATCTGAGAGTAGAACGGTACACAATGAATTATCCAATCTCGAGACGACGAACGAAAATTGCGACGTGTCGCTGGACAATACAGAAACTTCCAGCAAGACTACTAAGATTTCGAGTCATATCAGCAGACAAAAGTCGTCCACAGAGAGTCGGAGCGTATCGAAGATACAGTCCACCTTACAGTGTACATATTGCGAGCAAAAGTTTAGCTTCCCCAGCGTGCTGGAGAGGCACATGCGATCGCACACAAACGAACGACCTTACGTGTGCGACGTGTGCAACAAAAGCTTCAAGCAGCTGGGTCATCTCAGTCAGCACTCACTGACGCATCAGGATTATCGTTCGTTCCAGTGCACGGTATGCGGGGTAAAGTTCGACTCGTTGGACTCGCTGAAGCAGCACGCGCATTCGCACAAGGGCGACGCGACGACAACCACGACGACGATGCCCAAGATCCGCGATGTCTATCGGCTGTTCGAGTGTGACAACTGCAAGAAGGTATTTACCACGAAAAGCGTCTTGGAGCGGCACATATTCACGCACACGCAGGAGCGTCAGTACGACTGCAAGGTCTGCGGGAAACGTTTCAAACAGGCCGGCCACGTCAAGTCGCACATGCTGGTCCATACTGGCGAACGCCGTTTCCAGTGCACCGTGTGCTCGAAGCGCTTCAGCCTGTCGAACTCGTTGAAGAAGCACATGTACGTGCACAACGGTGAGAAGCCGTATCAGTGCGACGTATGCGGGGCGCGTTTCCTGGAGAAGCGCAATCTCAATGGCCACTTGTTGACTCACACCAACGAGCGTCCGTATTGCTGCAAGATCTGCGGGAAACGGTACACCCTGGCGGACACTCTGCGCCGTCACGTGAGCGCCGCCCACGAGGACGGTCGTACTTATCAGTGCGAGATCTGCGCGAAAATGTTCAAGCAGCTGGCGCATCTTTCGGTTCACAAGAAGGTGCACAACGACGAGCGGCCGTTCCAGTGTCACCTTTGCGAGAAGAACTTCAAGCACAAGAATGTGCTCAAGTCGCACCTGGCGATCCACGCGAACGTTAGGCCGTTCGAGTGCGACGTGTGCAAGGCCACGTTTGTCAGGAAGACGAATTTGCAGACGCACATCTCGTCCGCGCATATGAACGAACGTCCGTATGCCTGTACCATTTGCGGTAAGCGTTTCAAACAGATCAGTCATCTCAACGGCCACGTGGTCGTGCACAGCAACCTGATGCCCTACAAGTGTGACTACTGCGACCGCCGCTGCAATCGACTGGACAACCTAAAGAAACATATGCGTCTCCATACAACAAGGAGTCTGAACAAGGAGTGAAAGGAACCTGAAGAACCTGTATTAGTCGTAGAATGTGGAATTAATTTTAAAAAATTCCACGAATGAGATTATCAATGTCGAATCTTTTTTCTGGCACAAAGTTTAATCTTTATCTTCTAGACGAACGTTATATTTATTATATAAGTATTAATATTAATTGATATTATAAAAAATATAATATTATAATATTATATAATAATAATATAATAATATTATAATAATATTAATTAATAAAAATTAATATTAATCTCGAAAATTTATGTGTAAACTATTGGTTCTATGCAAGTTCCTCCAAGAACGAGATCTCATAGCTAATGAGATGATTGAAGTAATAAGAGACGTTTGCTGTGGATGGATTAAAAAATATTTTGTTTTTTTTCTTTTATACGACGTTGTTGCTGATATTGTAAAAGATTATTTGTATAACTTTTAATATCGTTTTAATTATATTTATAATTATGCCTCATATTGCTAATTTATAATTTTATTTATACACTTTATATGATACATATTTTATTTAATATATAATACGTTTCAGGTATTTTTATATATATATATATATATATTCTATGTGTGTTGCGTGATATATAATTGTACAATATTTTTTTTTGCTTGAACAATTTATTACAAAATTTTGACTAATATTTTAGATTTTATATTATTTTCTTGATAAGCTAAAAGCTATATTTGAATTTTATATCTATAAAATTTCTGAACAAATATATATATACATATATGTGAAAATATGTAACTATATGTAAGCAAAACTTTTTTATCATAGACTATTTTATACACTATAGCATATGTGTACTTAGTAGACAGAGATAAAAATATTTAATAGGAAGATTAATTATGCAATATATAATATAAGTTATCATTTTTTAAAATAAATCATTGTAATAAAAATGTTGTATTATTTATTATATGTCATACTAAATAAGAAACATTTTATGTAAAAAAAGAGAGAGACTATAATTTTTTGTAATTATAATTATTTATATATTATAATCTATTATATATATTTTTTTATATTATATTTTATTATCTCTCGTAAATTGCGCAATATACATATGCATACTTCGCGGTCAACTGAGCATGGTCAGTTGATCAGTCGTGCGTGAACTGTCGCTGCGCGTGGGTGTCTTTTTGTATGCAATATGGGGTACAAGAGAGGGTTAAGATTCGGGACCTTTTTCACCGTGCTGATCGTCCTCGCGGCGATTTATTATCGTAACAACGAAAACGTCTTGCAGAAACGACTCCTAACTCTCTTGCACGGTCTCGAGAGACTCGAAAACAAACACGTCATTACTAGAACGCCGAAAGTTGCCGTAGGTTATGGCGTGTGCACCGACGTCTTCATCGACGCGAAACACCTGCTCAAGTACTCGGACGAAGTCGGTCGGCCTGAACACTTCGACGAGATCAACACCGAGCTCGAACTGCTCAAGAGCTTCGCTTATTACTTTCGCTATGGAGCAGCGGCCGAGTAAGTCCTAGGAGTCATTTTTTCACATCCAGAAGATTCTATAAAAAAAAAATATATATATATATATAGCATATTAAACTCGCACATACGTTTAATAATCGAATTTATATATATAATTAAATAAATAAATTTATATATATATATGTAAATTATATAAATTATATATATATATATATATATAAAATTTATATAATTATATAAATATATAATTATTGTGGAATATGTCGATATTATTTAAAGTGTATATCAATAATGTATATCTATAGATATATAAATTAATTGCAATCAGGGATAAAATGTGGATTGCAAGAGCAGTTAATTGAAAAGAATCAATCGAAACTTATTTTAAACTCATTCATTAGTGTTTTCCAATATTTCAAATCAGTGGACAATAATAAGATGTTTCATTATAAATCATTCTGTTCATTGCATATTATTGTAAGTCTTGATACATCTACCTTGTTGAAGATGACAAAAACTTTCTTTTATAGACGCTACATGGCGAACAGAACATTATTCGATGAGCTGGTGTCGAAGGCGCGTTCGTTTCCTTCATCATACTCGACAATCGGAGGAAATGCAGCAGTTATGGCGATGCGATTCGCACGAGAGGGATGTGATGTGACCCTTGCAGCTAAACTGACCAGGTCCTTGCATCAGATGATTCCACAGGTGATAAATGTTGTAGGCGGCGAGGTAAAACGTGACGACATTCACCTCATCTTGGAATATAAGCATGGCGAGGTATGGGGTCCTTATTCTAGTGCAAGAGCAAACAGGTATGTACCGATGGATGAATGTATAAAATTGAGTATACTAAACAGAATAACATAATCTATTTTTTAATGAGCCATTTTTCTTAGATATATTATCCACAACGACTTGATTAATCCAATGATCAGCTCATTCGATGCCTTTGACAAAGTTTTGAGGACTTATGATCCCGATTTATTAGTAGTCAGTGGCCTCCAAATGATGGATAATTATCCATTTCAAGAAGGTAATTTTTTCTATCAGCAAAATTTCTTTTCTTTTTCATGCCTTGTGGTTGTAGATGACTTTCAGTTTACTTTACAGACAAACGAAAGAATCTTTTGCTGAACGTCAAGAAACAAATGTTGGAACGGTCGAGTTCTACTAGAATTCACTTTGAGATGGCTTCGTTCGCCGAGGATAAATTACTCTTCGAGCTGTGTGATCTGGTGGTTCCGTTCGCCGATAGTTTAGGGATGAACGAGCAGGAGATAGCGAATCTGTACAATACTATGTATTATGGCAATATTTCATTGGTCGCGGACTCGACTCCGAGAGTCGCGACGGTGTTGGATCAGATGAGAACGTTATTCAAGCTCATACGCTTAAGAGGCAAGTCGATCGCGAACGCTAGAGAGCTCACGAGGATTCATGTGCATACATTAGCGTATCAAGCTATATTTACTGTCAAGAATTCCATCTGGAAATACACAATGGCAGCTGCAGCCAAAGCGTCGTTGACTGCACATAGACATGTATGCGCATCAAGTAACGTAAGTATCAGAATTCATGAAGTAAAATATGAGTGATTTACAAAAATTATTTGTACATTTATATTCGTCTGAATCATATTTCTCTTTTGAAAAAAATAAATAAAAATAAAAATTATGTTTTTGAATATTTATAGCATTTATATTACTTTTATTTTTTATGTTATCAGTGTGCTAAAGTATGTTATCAATAGTGTTATCAATTAAAGTATGTTATCAATTGTGCTATATCAGGATTATTCTTATATCCGATGATTTTGAAATGCTTTTATTTTTGTACAGGTTGATGTCAAGAAAGCGATGCTGATAATGGACGATAGTTTCTCGACGTCAATTGTTGATGGTACGCGAATACCATTGAACGTCGACAAACCAGTGTCCTGTTGGGACGAGATACTGAAAACGGAGCAGGAGGATATTCCTATTCAAGTGTGCGTCGCACCTGTATTGGTTTGCACAGAAGCTAGTCAGACAGCTGGTGGTGGAGACAATATTTCCAGCGCAGGCCTAGTACTTCAGATCTAAAATCCATCGATGCAACGTAATCGTTTAAGTATATACCGTATTACGAATCATATTCCTCCTTTCCCATCGCGCGAATTGAAATCCTAATTCGTTTGACGCTCATTCCACGCTAGTTTTTACATTCCACTCGACTGGAAATTAGAGACTGGACACACACACACACACATATACGATTTTGTTACACATTATTGAAGGATTTGAAGCACTATTTAATTCTATGCACTTGTATGCATTTTATCGTATTATAATATTCTGCCTATTACGATTGACAACGATTTTGGTACTAATGCCTACGAACATTATTGTTACTCTCGCATTTGTAAATTAATTTTAATCGAAAGAGAAGTTTATATATGTATATTACACTACTGTTCAATATTATATAAGCTAATTGCAGTGCGTTGTGGTAGATTAAATGTTTTCATAAAAATGTAATTAAGACGATCGTGAAAATTATGTTGAAATTTTTGAAAGTACTAAAAAAATTCGGAATAGAAATAGATATTGATTAATTTAATAGCATGTGACATGTATTTCGATAGCAATAGTTCAACAATTACGCATCAATAGAGATTCTTAGATACGATATATACGACTTTAAAAAAAACGAAGGCAATGTGATATTATTTTAAGGAATTGTAAGACTAAAGTAAGTCTCTAAAAAAAAAAAGAAGAGAGTAACGAAGAAAGACAAAGTGATTATTATTTATAAAAAGAATGATTTCGGAAAATGTCATATCTACGAATTTTCATTCCAATATTTAAGTCTCTACTAGCGAATTCAGTCTGCACTAGTGCATATTAAAAGCTGTACTGAAATATCTATATTCAATATAAATATGAATGATAAATTATTTGTACTGCTAATTGTAAGTAACAATTACGATTATTATTGTTACTCTAATTATTTAAAATGTCTATCTTTTTATATGTAATTTATATGTAATAGCCTTTAGTGCAGTCAATTCGTTATACGAGTCTTATAAACAAATCTTAATTGTATCAATGTTTGTTTTACATTTGAAAGTGTTATATATATATATATATATATGGCGCAAACCTGAAAGTTACCAATTTGCAATATCAAAGAATATTTAATTAATATATTACACAATGTGTGATATTATATGTTCTTTTTATTAATTTTACACTTCTCGTCCTCTGATGTACATAATTGATAACATCCGATTAACGCTAGATTGTCCAGATTACTTGCAGATTTTCAACGAGTGTTTTTTGTAGTACATTTTATTAATACACAGTTGAAAATTAAAATAGCACATGTTAATTGTTGCTAATGTTTGCCGATATTAACATTAATTGCACAATAATCTATAATCACGAATACAAAAAAAGAAACTTGAAAACATTATGAGACGAAAAAGACGAGATGTGAACGAGATAACATTACTATCTAATGGACAATATTTGTAAGTTTTACTGCATATCGTTAAGTAATCTTTACAGACCGTGCACATCATATACTCACAGTATTTCAGGACCATTTATTGTAGCTGTTTCTTTCTTTTTTTCTTTATTTTTTATCACATATTTGTTTTTATTAAGATAGTTACATAATTGATAATTACTAATGAAGTACTTATCACGTCGTCGAGATGAGCGAAAAATGACGGATCAACGATATAACGGATCTACTCTTTCTAGTACAAAGTAGGAAATCTTAATGTGTCAAGTTTTTAGTTAAGAAAGTTTGCTCATTAATACAAATCTCGAGAAATGAATCTTTTCTGCAACCAAGTCATAGAAATCTTTGCGAGCGCGATTTAAAGGATCGTATCTCCCTCGTCGATGCCCAACATGCGAAGATCATCGGGTCCGGGTTGAGTATCCGCCTCTGCTTCCGTTTCCTGCATAATTTCAGGTGGTGGTTGATCCATGTATTCAGGTCCATATCCTACACAACCCAACATACTATACATCGATGAATACATGAGACTGGACTCCTGTTGATTCTGCTGCTGCTGTTGCTGTTTGGTCTCTGTTGTCTCCTCTTTAGGGAAGATTATGTTTAGAGCCTCCTGCAGATCATCCGGCAGCGGAATGCTTGGATCCGCTGAACGTTTCTCCGATGGCTCCGGTATATCAGATACGTCGGAGTGCGATGGTGCACCAGCTACGCTGGAGTCCACCATTGTTGCCGGTAATGGTGGCGGCGGTGGAGGCGGATTCTGCGGATGGCTTTGCACGAAACCAGCGGCGCTTGGAATCGGTGGTGGCTGCGTCGTCATAAAGGCAGGCGGCGGCACGGCCTGACGAGGAGAGAACCTTGGTGGCACTTGAACGAACGGCGGTGGATTCGATATGAACGGCGGAGGCGGTCGTGTAAATTGCGGTGCTGCACTTTGTACCGCTGCTGGCGGCGGTCTATTATGCACACCTGATTGTTGTTGACTCGGCGTGAAGCTGGGCGGCGGTCTGTTCAGTGGCGGTGGTGGATGCGGGGGTAGCGGCAATTTCGACACGCTAGACGTTTGTTGCTGTTGCTTCTGCTGTTGTTCCACTATCGGCTGTTCTTCTATAACTGTCTCTTCGGACTGGTCGTCTATCTCCATGTCGACCACTTGTTGCGTGGGTTTACTCTCGTTTAACACGGGCGGTGGAGGTGCCACCAAGATCTTCATAGGCTGGTTAACAGTCTTACTTGTCAATGATGAAATCGCCGCACTGCCGTTATTATTATTCAAGTTCACCGGAGTGGCTAGCTTAGTGATATGCACGACACCCGGTGGATTGATAATCTCGTTGGGTACTTTCGGCGTGTCCTCGAATTTGCTCTGTTGATAGGGTAATGGAGTTATGTCCTTCTCCGGTAACTTGGGCTCCTCGGTTTTCTTCTTGAACAGGGGTAATCTGCCGATGAAGGGTAACTTGCCCTTGGCAGCCATCTGTGGTGCGGACTTTTTACTCAGGACGTTGCCTTTCTTCGACTTAGAGTCGCTTGATTTCTTTTCGAACTTGGACTCGTCATTCGACGAGTTGTCATCCCCTCGTCTGTCCTTGCCGTATTTGTCATAGTTTCTCTTTGGACTGCTATCGCGCCAATTTCTGTCACGTCTCGGAGAATCGTTGCTATCTCTGTCTCTATCTCTCTTTCGACGATCGTCGTAGTAATCGCGATCCCGATCCCTTTCTCTGTCCCTATCGCGATCCCTATCTCGTCGGCTTCTTCTCTCGTATCTGCTGCTGTACTTGCGATCACGATCGTCCTTATAGCGATCTCTGTCACGATCCCTTTCGTCCTCTTTGTCCATTGATTTACTTTCAGGCGGCTTCACTGTCATGTTTACCTGTTGCTTCGTCCAGAATCCCATATGCGGCTTCGGCATCTCTTCCGGCTTTGGCAGCTCGATAGGTTTGTTCGTGATTGGCTGCTGCGATTGCTTCTCCTCTTCCTTCTTTATCCAGAATGATTTCGGCGGTTCCTTCGGTCCCCAAGCTTCCAAGTCCTCTGATTTCTTCGAATAGCTCTCTTGTTGTAAGTCTTCCTCTTCTTCCTCCATCTTATCTTGATTTATTTTGCGACTCTTCATCTCTTCTTCCTGCTTGGCCTTCAATTTATCCCTGATCGAATTCAGAAGCTGTCTGTCATCCACTTCCGATGGATGCTGCTCGGGTAACGGTGATGGATTCATTTGCGGCGCCTTCGACCAATTGTGTCCCTTCAGCTTTAAACGCTGATAATCTATTTCCTCATTAAGAATCGCCTGTGTCGAGGCCTTCATCTTGTTTCGCATCGCCACACGTATACTCTTGGTGGTATCCTGATCAGATTCGGTGTCGGAGTTCTCGGATTCGCTAGATGTATCACTAGCGCTGCTTCTGTTTCTGCGTTTCTTGGCCTTCTTCGACTTCTTCTTGTTCTTCTTAGACTTCTTCGACTTCACCGGTGGATCGTCGTCTTTCTGCTTTTGTAATTCCAATTGTATTTGCTTATGTTTTTCCTCAGAAAACGCTTTTTCTCGATCAGCCATCCAATCCGTTTCCCAGTGTGGATTTTGCTCCACGAAACGCTAAATGGTACATTATTTAATTAAAATAATTGTTATATACCAATTCAATTATATCGGAGTAATACAAGATCTAACACTTTTTATTAGATTTTAATATTAATTTTTTTAGACTTACTATTTTAATTATAGAAAATTTTAAACTATTTTGATTAAAGAAGTAATTTAAAAAGTATAATTTATAATTGAAATTTTAAGTATAATGATCTTTTATGAAAATTCTTAATATTATATTATATTCAAACATCACATGTTTAGATTACTTACAGAAAAGTTTTCAGAGTGACGTTTAGACTTCAGGTGTAGACTGGCACAATGAAGATCTCCTATCCAGGATTCGCAGAGTTTGCAATACCAAGCCGTCGACGCGCTGAAGAATTGCAGCCCTATAATCAAATAAGTCTGCAGTTAGCATTATTCAAGCTTTGAAACAGGTAAGCATTGTAAGTTCATAAAGAATGACCTTATATTCTGCCACGAAACATTCATGTCACTGGAAACAAAAATAATATATTAAAAGATGTGTTTGAGGTAAAAGATACATATAATACTAAATTTAGTCTTGCACGTAATCCCACGATGATCTGTGGAAAAACAGAAGGAGAAGGAAGAAAAAATGAATTTTATTTCTCATAAAATTATATACATGATACAAATAATAATGCATTATAAGTATATACAGCTAATTAAATATATGTATGTATATGTACATTATACTTTTATATGAATATACTGCAACAGTTGTTTTCAATCTAATTCTCAAGATATAAATGTTCTTTACTGTTAAATATACATGACTTTTTTAATTATATGATAATTGTATACTGATATAAGAGTTTAAAAGAGCATTTGCAGTATATTTTACAAATAATTGATACAACTTGTTGCATAAATAAATTAATATAATATTAAAAAAATACACATTTTCAATATATAAACCATAATGATAGCTCTTTCTTTGCATAACTTCACCAAAACTTTACACAAATGTGTACATACATCTCAGTTTATAAAACAACACAAAATATTTTATGTATTATATATTATCTTATATATCATTACTTTTTGTTGAGCAATACACTCCACTATAAGATCTTGATATATAAAGATCTAGTCCTGAAGATAGTTGTCAACATACCTAAATTGTGTAAATGTAATTGCGAAACATAAAATTGTAAGAAACATGTAGTGACACGAAAAAGTGACATTGATTGAAAGTCGCTCGGAAAGTGTGCTTCTTGAATCCGGCTAAATTCCATGGCTGTGGTGTTTTTCGACGTTGCTAGAAAATTTGTTGCCGACAACACCGAGACTTACACGATATATTTTTATTCACATATGTTGTATAATACAAGTTAAATTGATTTTAATCTTTTAAGCAGCATTACATGTTAGATGATATTCGCGAATGCTTTAACTTACTTAGGGCGAACAAATTTTCAAGCAACTCAAAGTGAATGTTGACCTCTTCAATACATACCGAACACCACAGTTATTCTGTGCACAAGCTACGGAATTATTTTCTATTAGTAATTATCCACTGTAATTGATCTTACCTTTAATAGGTGTTCTTTTCGTCGGCAGTCCGGAATAATAGGGTACTTCTTTCTCTGTTCCTTCACCATTTCGCTCATGCCATGGCATATCAACAATCTTGCGTTCCTATTATAGAATAGAATATAAATAGTAAAAGGCAGACTTGATATCAGATGCAAGAAACTCGGTACTGGTTCTTTTCTTTTATAATTATTGATATATATGGTACATAAAAAATTACGGTATGTACCAAGTACCTGCTTGTCGTGATCATTACTGTGTAATATATCATCCAGTTTACAAATATAGTTTGAACTACAAATATACACAGTCTTAATTAAATCCATTTGTTCTTTCATTACATAAAAAGAAATATGTATATATATTTTTTTCTTCTACCTGTTCTAGCAACAAGTATTATTTATAAAAGAACCTCTACTTTATTTTCTCCAATGTTTAATTATTTCAAGATTGATTCTATTTTACGACATGACTGTATTGCTAGAAAATATTACTTACTAAACAAGCCTCTTTGTGTTCATTGCTATGTAGATGATTTAAATATTCCTTTGCTGTCTTAGGAAAGATATCGCAGACTTTACACCAATGCATTTCGGGATCGTAGTGAACAAAATTGTACATTGGCTTATCCTCCGATGATCTTCTCTCCCTAATATCTCTTTCCGCTTTGGATTCCTTATCTGTATCGGAAGCCGATGTTCTATCGGGTGAAGGAGACTTTCCTTTCGGAAAATCTTCTTTCGGGCTTCTCGAACGTTTACTTAATTCTAATTTACACTTGCTCTTCAGGTCATCCGCAGTAACTTCATCACCGATGATGCCAGTGAGCATATCAATGACATTATGAATAGATTTCATTTTATTTTGTATCTCGACCTGTAACATTTAATTCAGATTAATATTAGCCACCAAAATAATACCAACAGTCACATATATATATTATTTACCTGCAATTTTTGATTTTCTTTTATAATTCGGTTATTTTCGCGTCCACCCTCTTTGCCTATCTCGTCGCACTGTTGACGCAGAATTTCCAGTTCACGTTGCAGAGCAGCAGATTTTAGAACATATTCCTCTCGTTGTTTAGCCAATGTTGCTTTTTGTTGTTTTACTTCAGCTGCGATTGCTGCTAAATATTTAATTTAAAGAAAATTTAAAGATTATGTAAAAAAACATTGATTTTTTCATTATCAAACAGAGATTAGAGATTCATCGAATGAACATAGAATATACAATGAAATCAATGTTGCACACCTTCTTTTTTAACATCCTCAGGTCTTGTTAAAGATGTCACTAAACCAGAAGAACCACTGTCAATCGGCCTTGATGACTCTTGTTGAGATGTCAATGATGGAGGCGGTGGTGCTTGCTGATTGTTATACGACACTTGACTTCCCTGCCAGTTGGGTGGTGGATAATCCTAACAGAATAAATACGACTAACCAATCTCGAGTCGTTCAACAACACTCTTATCGACCCTTACCTTTATCGAGTGGTACTCAAATGAGGACCTTGCCTAATACATGAAGTCTTCAAGTGATAACGATCTGGTCAATATTATAGATTTCCAAGATTGGTATAAATAAAATAAATAACGCGGATTTCATACTTACTAGGAGTTCACAGTCGTAGTGCAGGGAAATATAATTATAACATTCCAAACGGATAAGAACGCTACCGAATATAAATCATAATCGGTAGCACGATTTTTGAAATGCTTTGCAAATGTGTGCATAATTTTTAAAATTCACAAGAATACATGCTTTGCCTGAATATTTGCATATGCATCTACAATGTTTATATTGTTTCAACACACCATATATAATTACACCCTTCCCTTAAATAAAACTAAGACACCAATTGCATTAATCCTTTTTGCAAATAAAACTTACACTTCGATAGCCAGCAGGCTGCTGATAACTGTAGTCATAACCTGTGCCATAGTTGTAACCATAGTTGTTATATCCTTGATTGTAAGCAGATATAGGTGGTGGTGGCTGACTTGTATTTGGTGGAGGTGCCTGCAAAAAAAAAATATAAAGCAATTAATACAAAAGATATAATATATAATATCAATCAATACAAGCACATTAACAAGATACAGATTTCATTGGTGTTTATATATAAGTCCAGCAATCTATAAAGCTATTTATACCTGGTATTGATTATGTACTGCTGAAACATAACCGGTAGAATTGCTTGGATTCGGTACAGCACTCTGGGATTGAGGTGGCGGAGGTTGTTGCTTCCAATTGTCCTGCGACCTACTGGATTCCTTCCGTCTCCTGTCTCTGGAACTCGAACGGGATCTTCTGTCTCTAGATCGAGATCTGCGATATCTAATTCGTCTCGGAGATGGCGATCGATCGTACTTCCTCCTTCTCCTGGCGTGCGAGGAATCATCCGAGTCTGCGCTGGGACTCCTAGGACCCTTGCGCCTGGATTCCGACTCCATACCTAATGGTAGCTCCCAAGTCTTGCCTGATATAAATATAATTTATCACTTATTACAATATTTAATTACACGTCGTAAAAATTAAGGATTTTATGTATTTCGTTTATCAAATAAAATAATTAATGGGCTTGGTACAAAAATGAGTTAAGTCCATATGATTAATAAGTCATCTCGAGACACGTGATTTCGTTAAGCTCGATTTTATAAATTATTTTTTGTGGCTTTACTCCTAAAATCGGAGCTGTCTTGCGACAGGCATTAAATATAAAAACACGCGGCATCTATTGCAGCCATTGTTATCCTCTCGTCGAGTCTGCATGCATGCATGCATGCATTCATGCATGCATTCATTCATTCATCAGCATCATTGGAAATGTTATCACGCTGCTCACCTCGGTCGAGAAGTTTCCGATCTGTCAAATTTTAGGTGGGAGACGTACAATTCGTTGAAATCTCGTCAATAATCGCTAAAAAATAGCGATGGCACTCAACATGCCTCAACAATTCACGAATAAACCAGGATGTAGCGGATACGAAGATAACGTGATGATGGCGTCGGCTTGCACGAACAATGCGTAACCTAGATGGAAAAACTCATCCATTCATTCGCTCGCGCATTGTAAATGCGCCATTATAGTAAAAAAAGTGCATATCGTTTCGACTAATGTGAGTTTCCGGTGACTCCGATGAAATTGAAGGTTGAAAGCAGCGCGAAATGTCCGGGATTTAAAAGCAAAATGTCCGAGATTTCCGCGGATTCTACCGTCGAAGAGGATGATGAGGAACGAAAAGACTGCAGGCTAAGAAGAATAGCGAAGGTGTTATTCTGCTGCTTCAGACGCGATGACAGGTCAAACTCGAAGAGGATTGTCGAATACGACCCCGAAGAGTACGATTACATTGTCGAGAAGCTCGTGGTGAAGCGGGTGCCACTCGCGCTCTTCGCGATCCCAGCTGATCTGTCACAAATGTCAAAATCAGTTAATCGGCGCGGGCGACCTGGCGATGATGCGTCAACGACGCCGGATGACATCTCGCAATCGTCGTCCTTGTCCGCGTCCACGTTTAGCGGAAATCGCTCTACCGCAAATGTCATCGTGCAAGGAACGTGTCTCGCCTCGTCGACGAAGGTTGATAGAACTGGGTAAGGTTTTGCGGCGAATAAAGCCCTGCGTCTTGACACAAGCAAGCGAAATCTAAGGTTGGATAATAACCGATTTATTTCGCGGTAATTTTAATAATTTTCTCTCTTCGAGATCATCTTATTATTCTGCACCTGATAAAGCATCAATATGGCTGACATATATACATATTATAAAATATATAATAATATATAATAGTTTCTAAGAATTAAATATATTCTGAGGACCATCCATCTGATTTTTGGATATAAGTTAAATTTGATCTGATAGATAAGATATAAAATGTTTACGTGAACTAATTTATTTAAATTATTGTTATTTATTAAAAACTAATTTTTATTTAATATCAGTTTTATTATTAAGCATAAATATATAAAATTAAAGAAATTAATTTAATTGGACTATACATATAGATCCTATGAGTATACTTATGAAATATATTTTGTTCTTAGCTTGGACCGTCAAATAAAAGTCAAGAAACAGGGAATCCTGAGCAGATTCAGTGCTCTGCATGCGGACTTAAGGAAAGACAGACCAACCAGGAAATCATCGAATTTTTCGGAAAATAAACAGTCATTTACCAAGGACATTTCTATGGCGTCTAGTACGAGGACTGACATTTCTTCCAGGACCTCGGCGTCCTCCATGGTTGTCCAGGACAATGTTTCAACTCGAGATAATTCTCGTCACGAATCTGCTTTTGAGAGCGAAAGAAATGACAAATCACGAGGGAAAAAGGAGGACTTCTTGAGGCAATCGTGGAATCTTTCTACCGAGAAAGATCAGGAGAAATTCGGCCTTGGACGGAACCGGAGATACATAGTTTCCCCGTTTCGAGTGAGACGGGGTTCTCTTGATCTCACGAAACCGAAAAACATCACCGGAAATTTCGGCGTAGACGGGAAATCGCTGGCATATATTCAAGAATCCCTCGAGGATAAATCTTTGGAATCAGCGGAGGATTCGAAAGACCGCAATTTACAATCGAACCCAGCAGTCAGGTGGCGAATCACCATTAAACGCCGGCGCGCAAACGCGGATTCTGAGGTATAGGTCAAAAAACTTTCAGAAATGATGATACATAGATGCTTTTATCTTCTTTTTTCTGTGGGAGAACGATTGATTTATCGGTGATTCGCAAGAAACAAAACATTCTTAAAAATACTTTGATTCAATTCTGAAAAACTTATAAAGAGATTTGTACTCATAAAAAATTCTAATTTTATTATGCACCTTATCTTCTCAATAATTATCATGATTATTATATTTTATTATTACAAGAAAATATTTTCTCTTTTCAAGTCGCGTTCTCCAGAAAGGGAAATGCATCGGTGAGGATATATCCTCACATATGCCGTCAGCTGTCGTTCACCTGCCTCTATATTATGTTCTCGCATCTGTGGACGTTGCCGCGGCGACGAGTGTGGCATCATAATGGCAGCGATTGAAATATTTTCGAGCTCCGTCACTTACAAATACAAGAGCAGGATACATTCCTGTGCTTCGATCGTCGTCTTTGCGTTCATCGTGCTATCCTTGCTCACGCCTCTTTTTATAATCTACAATGCCGGGGGTAAAAATCGATGACTTTCACGTTACTGCTTTTGGAAAAAAAGTCGTGCGATAATAATCTTTGATTATATTAAAATTTCAGGCATTTGGATAAGAAATCGGATGCATGCGGAAACACCGGATGTGCATTTTGAGTATAAGTATCTGCTGCTCGCGGAAGTAGATTCTTACAAGGAGCCTATCGTGTGTTCCACTTTTGCGACATACAAGGAAAACGAGATCAAAGATCATTGTACACTAATCAAGGTATCTTTACTATTAAGCCAGAGGAACGATGTTAGAAATATAAGACTTGATTATATTAACTGTGCCACTTCTATAAATATTTTAGTCATTTAATTTGAATTTTTGCTTCTAACACGAAGCAGTTTTATATATAATTTTTATTTTTTTATTACAGCATTTTATATATACATCTAGTTACTTATATTTATATTATTTGATTAGATAAAACTATGTATTTATATATTTATATTATTTTATATTTGCAGGTACGAGAGAACGACTTAAATGGCGATGGACAGAAGGATTCGTTAAAGTTTGAAGCTTACTTTTACACGGACAAACCAGTTAAATCTTTAAGACTCTTGTTGTTCTTCAATTTTCAGTTGAAGGTAGACTCGCGTGATTATACGCTGCTCATAAATGTTCTTCGAATTTGATGGCCTTTTTAATATTACTTTACAGCATCTCATTGAAGCGACGATAGAATCTATCGGTGTGTTCGATCAGGTGTTAAGTCATTTGGAGGTTCAAGAGATACGGTTCTTCGGTGATTTGGAATTAAGACAGAAAGGACTCTTGCGCAGCGAGGGCCTTTACAAGTCGTACAACCACAGCGTAGAACTGTCCGATTATTCTCTACCCGAACTGCTGTTGCACAATTTCAACCAAAAGTGTACGTATATTTAAAAAAAAATTCGTTTAACATAAAGACGTAAAATAATCTATATGTTTGTTCGATAGTTTCAGCCAGAATTACGAACGAACGAGTAACGTGGCGAAGCGGCTTCTCCAAAGATGAAGTAGTGGCCGTCATCGGTGAATTGTTTTATGCAGAAAACTTTATTTATTATCAACCGAGCGTGTGGGAGGAATTGAAATGGGCATGGATCCAATATATATCGTGCCTGCTTGTTTTCGCATATGTTGCTAAACATATTCTGGTGTTTCTATTCACCAACAAATACTTGAACACGTATATCGTAAGACCGTGGGCGAATATATAAATAAGCGATAAATGAATAAATGGAGTAAATTCCTGCCTGCGGTAAATAACTTCGCGTCTTGTGCGCATTCGAAAATTTTCCTGATATTTCTCTCGTGCAACGTTGTTTTTTTTTTAAACTTCAATAACATATTTGAAAAATTCGTAAAGTTTTGTATAAGAATTCGAAGTACAATCTATTTAATTGAAATGCATAATGTTAAAAACTTCAACATTTTAAAATACATATATATAATGTTAAGTATTTTCAAATTATATATATGAAATCTTTATAAATATCCTAAAATTTAAATAAAATATATGAGAGAAAAAGAAGGACTGGATGAAAGAAAGAAAAGAAACAGCGTTTGCCGCTCTTGCGCGCAACTATTAGTCATACAAATTAGATCGATAAAAGGAACCACGACTGTGGAAACCACTTCCACCCTATTCCACCCTCGATGGTAGCGCCAGGCATCTATATCGTTGACGTCGGCATCAACCCTTCGGGTGTTCTCGTGGCTGGCGTCGATTGGCGGCTCGATAAGGGTGGAGACTGCGCTATGTCCAGCGGTGATATCTTCGCCGTTCTCGTGTGTACGCAAACACAATAATCGCACGCTGGCAGTCTATCGGGCGTGAGCGATACACAATCGACGTCAAAATGGGTGAGTCTGATATGTAAGAGCGTGAATTAGTGGAAATCTGTGAAATTCGGCTCATCTGGATCGCTAAAAAAATTCTATGGTAGACTTTGATAAATTAATTGATAGATTTCTTTGTAACAAACAGATAGACTTAAAAGAAAGCTGATCGACAAAAATTTGTTACACAGCAGGGAGGAATTTTCCAAGATCAATCATCGGGAACACTTTGTGCGACGTAGAATTCTAGCATCTGAAATATCGTCTCAGAGATGTTTTGTGAAGATTCATTTTTAATATTTTATTTTTATTCGAAATATTCGAAATTAATTTGGCGGGATAAATTCTTTTTTATCAAGTTTGCAAGATAAATATCTTTAAGATGTTAAAAAAATATTGTTATAATGCGGAGTAGTTGTCATACTATATTCAAGTAGTAATATTTATTTGCGCGTTTTATTTCGAGAAACTAATCGAGATAAGCTTTTTAATGTTATTATACAATAGATGTTACTGTTTTGTCTATTATATAATAGCATGTAATTATTTTTCTTAAAAAATGAAGTTTGGCCACAGAGACTAATGATTCAATTTTTATTTTTGCTAAGCAAAGGAAATTGGGAAACTCATCTTTCTGATGTATTAGTAATTATGTTTTATTAGTGAATTTAATCACTATCCTCTTTCAAGAATCTTATTTAAATTATTATGATGCCTTAAAAATCTCTCCTTCAAGTTTTTTTTACATGTAAATTTCTTTAATTTTTTTTACAATATCTACAAGAGTATGAAATCATGATTTTATATGCTCCAAATACTTATTGAAAATAAAAATATTTTGCTAGCTTTTTAAATCATAAAAAATGAACCAAGATAGAATTTCCCAAAGTTATGAAGCTATAAGAAATCTATTGTGGGGACTATATAGAAAAACTAATATAGAAATTATTACATGATACGTTATTATATTGTACTTTGTCATATTGAACGCAGAGTAGCGAGACACGGTGGAGTAGCGGCACGGTATTTAACCATGTCCACGAAATCAAAGGAGAAGGTCGTAGCCGCCATCCGGAAGCTCTTCCGATCTTCTGAGAAGATTGCGGAGCCGGAAGGAGCCAGCGGCTCGACCAATTCGCCGTCAAGGAGACTCCTAAGTCGTCATCATCGTCCAGACATCGTCACTCCAGCGGATGTTCCGATACCAGAAAATCCAGATCCCATGCACGTCGATCGTAATTGTTTCTTCAAGATGAAAAAGTCCGCAAAGGTGCGTAGAGTTTCTGATTGATTCGGTGAATAGATCTCAAAGAGATTTGATAAATTAATGTTTGTTGATTCTTTTCTCGAATGGATAATCTTGATAGCTAGATGAAATAAATAGTCCTTGATTCTATGTAATCATTCTTGGTTTTTGAATATCTTCAAATATTTCAAATCAAATCTGCTTGTACAGGACAATAACGAATGTAAGGCCGCCAGCGACAAGGATGTCGGTCTACGTCGACTGATGAAGGAATTCAACAGGATTCAAAGAGCACAACGTCACGGCGATTCGGCCTTCACCGCCGAACTCGTCAACGACAACGTCTTCGAGTGGTCTGTCCGATTGCACAAGATCGATCCGGATAGCAAACTAGCGGCCGACATGCGTGAACTGAAGATACCTCATATATTGTTGAATGTGATCTTCCCGAAGGAATTCCCGTTCGCGCCACCTTTCATGAGAGTGATCTCGCCAAGGATCGAGCAGGGCTTTGTCATGCACGGCGGTGCTATTTGCATGGAACTTCTCACACCGAGAGGATGGTGCTGCGCATATAGTGTCGAATCGATGATCATGCAATTCGCGGCCAGTGTTGTGAAGGGACAGGTGAGCATTGTTTCGAGTTGCATCGAATAGTTCATCCTGTCAGGCATAATATATTTTCATAATGTATGATTACATTGAGTAAATATGAGAGTACAATATGATAATGTGTATCATGTGATCATTTCTATATTAGTCTTATATATATTCTATATTAGTTAAAAAATTATCTGTTTAATTTAGTTTATTAATATTAGTTATATATTATAATTATATAATATTATTTTAATTTTATTTATTGATTTAATAATATATATAATATATAATAATATTAATATATATATATTAATATATAATAATATTAATATTAGTAACTGAAAACGTTTGTAATGTTTGTATATAGTATTTCTCATTGTCAGAAAAAGATTTCTCATATTAATGCTTTTATTTCCGTGTGGCAGGCACAAGTGTCGAGGAAGTCGAAGCCCAATAAAGAGTACAATCGACAATTGGCCGAGGAGACATTCAAGAATCTGGTGAAAACGCACGAGAAATACGGCTGGGTGACGCCACCACTCGCTGAAGGCTGATCTTATTGTTAGAATACAATTATCATCCAAAGCTGGAAGAGGTCCGCGTTTCTTGTTTAAAAAGGTGCGCACGAACCGACATGATTCTTTATGATTTCTGATTTTTCCGGAAACGCCGACAATGATTTTTTTCTGTTTCCGTTCAGGAAGCTCACGTGTAATTTCGTTATCGCGAATATACACATTCAGTCAGAAAGGAATTCATCAAATTCGTCGAGTGAACGAGAAACTTACGTAGTTTTCTTTGCATTTTCACGCATTTTTCTCTTTCTCTTTAATCGCAAGAATACTTTTGACTGTGTTTCTGCCAAAGATAAAACTTTGAAAAGAAATTTTTTTGAAAATTTCAAAACTTTAAATCCCTGTGTTTATACAACTACGCCAAATTAGTTATTAAGACGAATATAACATCGTTATAATGTTATAATGTTATCTGCGCTTGTCAAATCGTCACAAGAAAATATCAGAAGCTCATAACAAAGTACTTTGTTTCATTCAACATAAATATAGAAGAAATGAGAAAGATTGCTCAATAATGTATACTGAATTGTTAAATGCGCTCGATTATATATATATATATATATATATATATATATATATATATATATATGTATATATATATAATTGAAAAGTCGATGAAATATGTAAATATAAACAACGAAAATAGTAGACATAGCATTACTTGTTTTTTCGCTTTTGTTTAATTTCCAGTTTGTATCAATAATTTAAGAAGAAAGACACTTGTGCATGAAAATTTTTTCCGGAAACAGAAATCTTGATTATGAGCTTCTACACATATATAAAATATAAGCATATTTCTCTTTTTTTAATACTATCCGTATTATATGATTTTTGATGTTTTTTTATCCAATTAATCGCAAAAGTTATTGTACGTTATATATATGATTATATTATGTTGGACATATATCTGTATGTGCCAAATAAATATATAATTAGTTCGAAATTTATTAATGTCTCTTCGCAAAACTTTAAATTAAAATATAATCGCGAAGGTTCGCGCGACCATCTAAACGCAAGAATTAACACATGTGGCAAAGCTCTAGATAACAAGAGACTCTTAATTGTCCAAACAGTCGACTTTAATGTGATGAGAAATAATATTTGTACAAGATTTTGACAAGTAAAAATGAAGGAAGAGTGAGATAAAAGTTAAATACAAATAAAATATTTACATATATATATATATATATATATATATATATATATATATATATATGAGAAACCGTTATTATAAAATCTTTTAGGCGTTTACGTTAACAGTACTTTTGGCCTATATATTTACTGTACACTTACAGAAGTTCAACGAGACTAGGCATACTGTATTTTTTTTCATCAGCCAAATTATCATATGCTATATTTAAAAATTTTGATAAAAACAAACAAGAAAATACAATACAAATCTTTTTTATTTCCGTTAGCAGCTTATTTATATAAATTATTATAAATTATAATTCCAAGTTATATTTTAAAGCGATTTTTTCACAAACATTTTATCAAATCTGTTGGAATAAAAATTGCTATATTGAAAAACGTTGTTATATTTCTTAAAATCTCCCTTAATTAATATTAATAAAACGCTAAGACATTTGTTTTTTATTTATTTATGATATCTAAATATGTTCTTGTCAATGTATAAAATTATAATTATATAATATAATATATATAATTATATAAAATGTAAAATTTATTGATAAATATAAATATTCAATGTCATTTTTAATTTAAAGTTGTAAATTTTTCATTTGAAAGTATCACTTAATTTGTAAAAAATTATTTAGCATTATTTAATTTAAAACAGATTATATTTTTTATATGGCTCTTTTGATACTCGAAGAATCGTCTGAATTAATAGGAGAATATATTTTGCGAAGAGGTAATAGGTAGTAGCGCAGCAAAATACGTCTTTTAATGGTTGAAAATTCATCTGAGTTAATAGGAGAATATATTGTGTGAAGAGGTCGTTATTAGGAGAATATATTTGCAAAGAGGTAAAGTTAATAATGGTTGTCGGTAATTACGATGGTAACTTACCAACGTGGACAATTTACCAACCGAAATTGACAATTTACCGACCGTCATTGACATACCTCTTCGCAAATATATTCTCCTAATAACGACCTCTTCACACAATATATTCTCCTATTAACTCAGATAAATTTTCAACCATTAAAAAACGTATTTTGCTGCGCTACTACCTATTACCTCTTTGCAAAATATATTCTCCTATTAACTCGGATAAATTTTTAGTCCGAAAAATTGTCTAAGTTAATAGGAGAATATATTTTGCGAAGAGGTAGCAGATAGTAGCGCAGCAAAATAATGTCCGAAAATTCATCTAAATTAATAGGAGAATATATTTTGCGAAGAGGTAGCAGATAGTAGCGTAGCAAAATAATGTCCGAAAATTCGTCTAAATTAATAGGAGAATATATTTTGCGAAGAGGTCGTTATTAGAAGCATATATTTGTGAAGAGGTCGACGATTTCTTGAGCATATTAAAAGACACATTATTGAAATGTATTATTAATCTAACCTTTTGGCAAAATATATATTTTTTAGTAATGATGATCAAATGATTCTTCGAGAGTATTAAAAGATCGATATAAGAAATATAATCTGTTTTAGAGTAAATAATGCTAAATAATTTTTATAAATTAAATGATACTTTTAAATGAAAAATTTACAATTTTACATTAAAAATGATATGAATATTTATTTTATCAATAAAATTTACATTTTATGTAATTATATAATATATATTTTATATATACATATAGATGAAAAAGAATATTAAAAAATTACAATGATTGAACTAACTTAATCTTTACATATATTTTGTACAATATTTTATTGTCACCTGTTTTACAGAAAATGTAATCTGTTTTACAGTATATGTAGTGTATCTCTGTTTGCATGCAAGGCATACTCGCAATCAATTACTTTCGAATGTATATATTTTGTTTTACAACTAAAAGACCCTATCGGTACTTGAGCAGTTATTCGATTAGAATAATATATATATGCGTAAATGATACTTAATTAATTACTCACAGTCACAATATTTAAAAACGCAGATACGTTTAAATGCGATAAGATTCTTTTATATATATATATATATATATATATATATATATATATATGATAATTATATAAATATGTCGTTCCTTTTCAAATTATACTTTTGTTATCTCTGATATTTTTAGTTTTATATTATTAACAAAATTAATATAATTTATATTTTATATCAGGATTAATGAACTGTGAAATGTATTAATGATTAATATCATACAAGATAATTGCATTCGAAATATAGAAAAGATAAAAAATTTCTTAGATTTTAAAATAAGAAATAAATCTTTGTAAAAATTTTTCCATTGAAAAATTGATATGTTTGAGTATGAATACTCTCTATAATATACTTGTGTATAATAACGATGATGATCTTCAAAGATATATCTAAAAGTTCAATGTAATATTAAATTTAAAATAAATATATTTCTAATAATTGACATTTTTCAATTATAATTATATGTAAACACTGTATGTACAATCAAAGCAGATTTCTTTATATATATATTCTTTGCATATTTTTATTTTTATAGCTATATACTTATGTATATAGTTAATATATAATTATAAGTTTCTAATATAACTATAATTTATAACCACACTATATATATTTATGTATAATTCGGAATTGTAGACTTTTGCATATATAGTATACAAAGAATTTATATATTATTTTAAGATATGTACAATTCAGGGATCGAAAAACCAGTATCATTTCTAAATTCTCATCTCTGCGAATAAATAAAATGTAAAAATTGACATAATTTTTAAAACAAAAATTAAATTCTTATTAAAATTACATAGATATAAATACTACATGCTTATACAGTTTACAGTCCTCATCTCCGCGAATAAATAAAATTTAAAAATTGATAATTTTTAAAACAAAAATTCTTACTGAAATTACATTAATTTTTTTAAACAATTCAATAATTTTTCTAAATTTCTCTATATTATTATACTTTGTGCATAATTATACACTATTTCTATATACTATATTATTATGCCTATGTACTCCAAAATGGTGAAGAAAAGTATAGAGCGCGTTTAAAATTGACATATTTTAAATGTGTATGTAATATTGAAATTTTCGACGTAGTCGTAGCTAATCGATACTTGAATACAATTTATGCATCAAAACTAACAATGTTATCGTTTCAGGCACAAAGCGAAGATAAATATGTAATTACAAATATATAAAAATTATAATTTCTATTATGCGAATATATAAAATATAAAAATTACAAATCTACATCGGTGACCTGTGCTGTGTGTTATTCAGACATGCACGCATTGTCTCGATAATACTTATATAATGTGGCTGCTCGATAAAGTTTGACGCTATATATAATTGACATCATGATCACGATTATAATTCTAATCTACCTATCTACAAAAGTACGACGCATGCTTGAAACTCATTCTCGAATTCAGGCATCATAAATCGTAATTTTTGGCAATAATTACAACTATTTTCATACACTTTTACTCGGTCTTATCTTCTTGCACACACATGAACAGTTTGGCACACGCCATATTAAGATTATCTGCAAAATATATATAATCACAGTATTTAATTACGTAAAAATATAAACATGTCTTTGACGAGCCTCTAAAGTTTAAATACTACTTACGGGATCCATTCACAAGCCACGCGGGCTTCGCTTTCCAGTCAATGAAGATCCAATACACGGGAATTCCAGACAGGATTATGATTATGCCTACGCCCACCTCCCATGGTGAAACATAGCACGGGAAAATAACCAGAAATACGCAAATTATGAAAAAGATGATTGGTAGAAGTATAAAAACCTAGAAAAAAATATATAAATGTGTAATAAAACTTTATTTTATAATAAAAGATGAAAAATAGATAAATATATATAAAATGTAATAGAATTTCCTGTCGAAAGTCCTGGCAAAGTTGTACGTACTTTTATGGGGCGATGGAGATCAGGTTTTTTGTAACGTAGCCACAACAGACCAGACACGGAAAGCGTGGTGAATAGAGCCTCAACGAAGCTGACATAATTTATCAGTACGTAGACATCCTTTATGATGAGAAGCACCAGAGTGATGACGCACTAGAAATTATAATTTCATGTTCAGAATTGGAGTTCAACCGCAAAAATAAAAATACTTGAGCGTTTTTAGTACTTGATGTTTTTAGAATCAATCGCAAATATCCCGCGAGATGTTAATTTAAAATTTAAAATATATAATTTTCGCGATCACATATAATTATAATATAATATGTATATATTGCGTATACTTTTCTTCATCCACAATTTTTCAATCAATTTTAAGTCAGATTTTTTCCTCAGTAAAAAGATTGATACTATATAATAATGATTTTTTAAATACTTGGTCTTAAATAATTTTCGCTCAATATTTCAAAATCTATCGATTTAAAACATTAGAAAGATGACAAATATTTAAATAAAATATGCGCGCAATTAATTAAGTTAGAAGCAACTAATTAGAAGATAAGATAATTAACACCAAACTTACAAATATATAATGCATGCTGAGGCAACATGATTTTGAATGTTAGTTAACGAGATCAGATTTTTTAATTCACTCGCAAAAAAGAATGAAAATCGTAAGAGACTTCCGCTACTAATCGTCAAAGAGATCGACATGAAAGGATTAATTTAATGCTTTCAAACGAATTACACAGTTTAAGATGCCGGACTACATACATAATACTATTATATGCGTCGCGTGGTCACTTGATTTGACTGACTTCTATTATTAAGACGCCAGTTTTAATGTAATTTTACTAATTTTTATTTATGTACATCAAAATTAATTCTATTTTCAATAATTGAACGAACTAAATTGTCGTATCTAAGATACAGAATTAAAAATTCATTAAAAATATATAAATGTATCAATCGTCTGTCTCGAATACTTAATTAATAATTTTTTAAATATTTTCTTCTCAATTATTTTCTTTTAGTTGCACAATTATCTAAAAAGACATGATTTTATGAATATTTTAATTTGAGAAGGGTTTAAAAAGATTTTCAAAATATAAATGAATGACACATTGCAATTAAAGAAAAATTTGTATAATAAAAATAATGAATAAATTATATAAATAAGTTCCCGTAAGAAAGTGATCGAAATATATATTTGGAAGTTTGATAAACTTATTTTATGAACGTACAAATGCCACGGCGATAAGAACTCGCAAACAAATAAATTTTTAACATTCTATTCTTGTTATCGCTGAAAGATAATGCATTGCACAATAAGTAATGAGTTATTTGGCGATAACTATTAATGAAATAGGATTTATTAAATTGTTCGGTTATATTGGCAAATAATTAAAACGATATAGAAAAAAAAATCCATTCACTATTCAGAACTAACTTTCAAGGAGAGCCGGTTGTAAAATTATCATAAAATTAAAAGTACGTACAAGTTGTTCGCGAACATTTATTCATTTTCCTCGACTTTATCTGTCAAAAATGATTTAAACTCAATATCAAATTATTAATAAATCTATTCAATTATCACTTTGTAGCATTCGTCCTTTTTTTGCATTTTGATTTTAATTAACGAAAGATAACGCGATACTTACGAGGAAGATGAGGGATGGCATCGGCGTCAAGTTGCGGACATTAATCAAAGCAATGGCAGTGGGGAGATGTCCATTTCGGGCGCCGACGAAGAACAACCTGGACGATGCAAAGATCGCGCCATTCAATGCTCCGAAAGTCGAACACGCCACGAAGAATGGTATAATCCACGACATAACGCCCAGCAATTTATCGCCGAAGGTCTAGAAAGGAATTTTCGCTGCGATTTAATGTCGGGTTAGCAAAAGTGGAGCGGCATCTTGATTATAGCAAAAACGCGGCCGCGTGATTGCGTAATTTTTTCATGTTGCATTAGATCGACTTGGCGATATAATATAATATTATAAAATAATCTATCGGTTTATCGGGGATTCGTCTCTTATCGAAAGCTGATAGAACACATCCGACTTGAGAAGACATCCGCTTGCATACTGATTTTTTTATCGCTCAAAATATATTTTCTGTGTATATTTACTATAAATTTAATATAAGAGTTAATTGCTTAAATTAAACTTTAAAAATTTTTTCCTAAAAATTTTGTTTTCAATATGTAGAACTTAATATCATCTTAATATATCTTTTGTATAATGAAAACTGAACTATTCTTTTTGTGATGCTAAAATATTCGTGTAAATGCAATCACTTGGCAATAAAACGTGATCGTGTGAATCTTATATTTCAGAATTGTTTTAATATTAATATGTGTAAACGCGTACTTACAACAGCGACAGCATTCGATGCAAGTATTTCGTCCTGTGTGAGTACAACGAAATAAGCGATGTTCGCGAAAACGTAAATAATTGTCACCACTGGCAATGATATACAAATAGCTTTCGGAAGATTTCTGTAAAAATCGATTATGAATATTAATTCCCCATATTATAATTTTATAAATAATATATATAAATAATATAATTCTATATTCTATTTGCTGCCAAAACAAGCAGATATCAAATATTATCTATTTTATCTTTTTCTCTTTGTACGAGAGTTACAGCAGAGATATGCAAAGAAATAAAACGGAGAGTTCGCAATTACTTGTAAGGATCTTGAAGTTCCTCCGTTACGAAGTTTAGATAATTCCAGCCGGAATAAGAGAACAGTCCGGAGTAGATCGCTAGAGCGATGTAACCGGGCTGAGTGTTGGTACCAGCCATTGGACGTTGAAAGTTCTCCGTGTGTCCTTGATAAAGCCATACTAAACCCGCTATGACGATGATCAGCAGAGCAAAGATTTTGGTGGCGGTAAAGAAGTCTTGCACCCTAGTCGCCCATTTGACGTTATAACAATTGATGGCAGTTAGCAGACCTGCGAACAAATTTTCATATTCAGAACTGATGACAATTTTTTCCTTTTCGTTAAATTTGTTTTAATTCTTTATATTTCTTCCATTTTTTTAAAATTGTCCTTGCTAACGTTTACTTGCTTATTTAAGATGACTAAAAAAGAGAAGAAATATAATAATAAAAATAAAATCTTCATCTTACACGTGATGACAGCAGCGAGGAGTCGCACCGCCTCATACGGCGGTTCGCATCCAGGCCAAGCGGGTTGCAGGATGTATTGCGCAAACGTGAGAGCCGTGATAGCGTTTCCCGTTGGCACCAGGATGAATAACGCCACCCAAAGGTAAAGGAATGCTGGCAAAGGTCCGAAAGCATCACTGATGTACGCGTAGTCACCACCGGACCTGGGTATCATCGTTCCTGTAATAAATGCGAAGAGCTATATCATCTATGTTTTCTCATTATAAATTGAATTAGCAGAAACCAAGAGAAAATTAAAAAATGGAAAATATAATAATGAAAAAATCAATTAATAATATATTTAGTATACAAACATTTTAGTCATAATTTTGCCTTTATATAATTTGTATAAATTCCTCATTTATTTATCAAATTCTAATCAGCATTTGTACTTTTCCTAATCCCAATAACAGTTAGTCCAATATAAGAGTATAATATATTTATATCTCTATATTACTATCGCTTATATTGCGTTTTCTTCCATTTTTTATGAAACATTATAAGGCATTAATCTTGAATAATAAAAAAACCGATAATAGCATGTATGTAACATTGTTTAATTGTCGGGCCGGGTCAGATCGCGCGCTGTGATGTGCTGTATTATTACAACACATCTCTTGACGTGCAGCATTTATATGAATATAGATTCTGCTTCCTTGCAAATCACGTCCCGCATAATTATACGCAGTCTTATCACTCTCCCGCCCATCTCGCGGTTCTTACAATATCGCGGTTTTTTGGTCATCATCGGCGGATCCATAATTTGCATATCGTGGTATATCTATTTTATACTTTCTATTTTTTTTCTTTTTTCCCTTCTTTCTCTTAGATTTTTCAAAATAAAAAAGTAGGATTTTTATAGTTATATATAAAACATCTTTTATAGTTATATATAAAATATCGTATATTGTTATAAGATCTTGCAATGTCTAATTCAATTTTCTTTTTTAATTTTAAGAGCACACTTTGAGCATATCTTCAATTGAAGCACGCGATAACGATAACGCGATAATGGTAACAGTGGACGTGACTTGTAATAGCGTAAATTTAATGATCGGATTTGTCACGAAGAGCTTGCTACAATTTATACACTTGATGACATTCGTTTCCCGTTATTACAATGTAATTACGCTTTTATTCATCTCACTTCAATCTCAATTTATCAATGAAGCCTTTTCCACATATTTTTATACGTGACGATTAATTAACTGTATACGTATATCAATTAAACAATTCGAACTAGTCTAACCAAACTTAAATAAATAGTACATGGATATCTTCTATACATTAATTCAATACTTTATCCGCATGTCTCATTTGAAATAAGAGTAAAAAAATTCTATTTGAAGAAAAATCGATACGATTAATTTGTACATATAATAAAAATATATACAGGATGTTTCAGAATTAATAAAAACATAACATAAATCAGCATTTTCGAAATATGGATATTTTATATATTATTGGAGATAGGAGATAACAGATAACACATACTCGGTATTAAAAACAAAGTCAATAAAGAATACAATGTAAACAATATTTTGAAACATATGATTACGTTATATCGTATGTGAAACATATGCTGCGTTATATGCATCGTTTGATACACTTTGACCTTTTTATAATATGACAAATTTGTTGTAACTGATCTTCGATATCGGGACCATTGTTATCGTATTGTTGTTAAGGTAAAAAAATCTCCTAAATACATACATTTTATATCAATAAATATATATTATACTCTCTATAAAGATTAAAAATTTAAATTCAATCTTGAAAATTATAATAAATAACCTCTTGATAAATAAATAACCTATTTAAATAGATTAGCAAAATATTATATATATATATATATATATATATTTTTGAAAATAAATAAATATATTATAAAAATAAATATACATATTTAAAATAAATATAATGTATACAGATTTAACAGACTGTAAATGTTAAGTGTAATGATTATTTCATAGAAATATCAAATAGAGATAAGATAAAAACAAATAGAGGATATATTTATGCCTCCCATTAGATATTTTGATTTATAAAACAATTTAAAAAATTTGTAAAAAGATTACATACAATTTATAAATATATGGTTCAAAAATATACTTTCATATATATGTACATAAAAGAAAGAAAAATTGAGAAACCAAGTTGCTCGGAAAATGTCCTTGTTCTTATATAAAATATTTGAAATATGCGAAATAAAAATAAAATAAAATATTTGATAATATTTATATATGATTAAGATTGATAACTACTTTTTACAGACGTTCTTATTAATATATAACAAATTAATATTATGTACAATCTAACTATTGTGATATTTTTTTATGAGTTAGATAAAAATATTACGAGATAAAGAACAATTGTATGATTTGTAATGGCTAACTTGTTACAAATTCGAACAGTGGACTGTGGATAAATGATTTATACAGAAATTAAATTTAAAATTATAAAGCTGTATAAGATTTTAATTGTAAGAAACTGAGAAATATTAATAGATACAAATCATCATCATATTTCGCGAATATATATATTAATTTTCATTGAGAGATTCTTTATTGTCAATAAAAGCATTTTGTCAAACATAGAAAAATAATCCCAATTTACATTAAATTTATGTAATTTATAATTATCAACAAAAAATATATATCTATATGTATATATATATTCTTTTTCATGCAATACATAAAAATATCATAGAAATATATATATATATATACCATATATATGTATATAATTAAAATATGTATATTCTTCTAAGTTTACAGGAATTTAAAAACAAATAAAAACCACTTTTTATCTTAGTTTCTCTTGTTCTTATATTCATTAGTCATATAAAATTCCGAGCTGAAGTATAATTTTATAAACCTGCCTCGAACGAAAAATGTTTATGATGCCCAAAAATATCTGGGGAATGGTTTCATAGACATCGTTATTCCTCATGATTCTCTTTTCTCATGGAAAACAATTCCGTTCGAAATTTGCATTCGGTCGGGGTCATTGATGCCTAAGAATGTTAGTCAGCTAACTCCCTTGTGAGATATCACGTTCTATCAACATATTACAATATTGACGACAATGCCACGTGCGTGTGTATACACAAACATATATCAAATAAAGAAAAGATAAAAATGAATAAATACATATTATGTGCTTTTCATAAATAGATACTCCGAGGTAAAAGAGGAAATAAAAAGAGAAATTGAAAAGTAAATAGATTATATGTAATTTATAAATATAATCTAAAAATATACTTTTATATTGTATAAAGCAAAGAAGAATAAAAATAAGAAAGGAAATATTGTGTCATGTAAAATTACAAATTGTTCGAGAAATATTCTCGTTCTTATGGAACAATTAAAATATGTTTTTTTATTTTTAAAAAGCATTTGAAATAAAAAGAAATATAAATAACTAGGTTACAAATTTTTTTAATTGTTTTATAAATCAAAATATCTAATGAGGCATAAAGTGTTCAAGCAATTTATACACTAATAAAAAATCAATTATCATTATTTTATCAAGAAACTCTTAATTAACTTAATTAACTTTAAATTAACAAATTATTATTTTTTAATAATTATTAATTTGCATTAATAATAGATCAAAGATATTAGAATTAAATTAAGAAATTTTAAGAAGAAATTCTAAAAGAAATTCTTAAAGAAATTTTACAATCTTATTCTATTGTCTTTGTATGACATAATATACATTATATTAAATTACTAAATTGTTTTTCTATATAATAATATAGTATAATAAAATGTTTGTATATCTCTCTTCTAAAAACTATACTATCTATCAATTTTAAATATATTATATTTATGTATATAAATAGGGATATTTATGTAAATAGGGAGATAAAATAAAAACAAAATTCGAAAAAGAGAGGGAAAATAAAGGATGCACTTTTTTGTGCAAAAAAATTACATGTAAGAAACGCTTACGGAAACATGCGAGACTATAATATTTTATATTCTAATTTTTTATAAAAGAAGAAAGAGGGATATCCTTCCCTTCTCTTTCTCTCTTAAATCAAGTTCTTCACCTGAACGCATTATGCACACCGTTTCTCGGACCACCTGTCGAGCCCGCCAATTCGAAACGAGGGGAAGCTCGCGAAAGCAACCGTCGTTCATAATTTCGTCATTCACTCACCTAGCTCGGCGTAACATAGAGCCCCGATGAGCGACAGGACCCCGGAGAAGATCCACACAATGAGAGCCTGGCCGACGCTGCCGCTGTTCAGAAGCACACCCTTGGGCGACACGAAGATCCCGGCGCCGACGATGATGCCGACGATGATCGCGACGCCATCCCACAGGCCCAGCTCCTTCTGCAGCTTGATACCCTCGTTGCTGTTCTCGGGCCCCGTGGCCACGGTCCGCGGGACCGTCTTCTCCGGGGCCGGGGCTACTTTGTCCGGCATCTTCTCGCACGATTAATTCCTATACCTACGTACCTCGAAATTGGCGCGCTCGAATATCACATGCGTTTCCGCGCGATTGTGTGCGATTCCGGAGCAACGAGATGAATGGGACTTGCCGCGTGAGCATATCACTGTACACGTGGACGAGAGTTGCGAATGAAGTTCTTCTTCGAGTCCGAGGAAAAATAGCGGCAAAAGAAATTGAGGTAAATCGAAGCGCGCGCGTGTTCCTTCGGCACGTGGCAGGAAGAAATGGTTGACGTGACTGACGCACGCACAGACGACACACGTGTCAAAGGGGCTGCCGCGCCGCGCCGGTCCACGCTCGCCACTGCCGATGGAGCCGGACGTGCGCTCGCTATTTCACCGCGCGCTCTCTCTCCTCCACGCGCTTGCGTTCGCCGAGTGCTATACCGCGCACTCACCACCTCGACCCTCCTCGCACGATCCTCGGATCGAACTGACGCGACGCTCGCAGTAGTGCGCGTCCAGTGGCGCGGACACGAGTGCTCCGAAATAATGTTTCGGAGCGTAGACCACCGGCATCGCCGACTAAATCTCGCGAATTCCTCCTCCTGAGCTCCTTTCTTATCCCCTTCACGTCTTTAGGTCCGAATTAAGGGATGCTGGACATGCCTGTTCGACAGAATTTATTTGTCATTTTATGTTTATTTTTTATTGCTTTTGTTCTAGTTTTTTTCCAGATTTCCTGTCATGATTCTTTCATATATGCATTCCTTGCCTCCTTGGGCTTATTTTGTACTTGCAAACTGTCTAACTATAATGTAAAATAGTTGTATGAACTGACAGCTTGTCGGGAAATTTATTTATTTATTGCTTTTTTTTTTAAATTTCCTGTCGTAATTCTTTCACATGTTTTCCTTGCCTCCTTGAGTTTATTTTATACTTACGCAAACTGTCTAATTATATAATAAATATTTGTATAAACTAACAGCTTGTCGGTAAATTTTCGAAATTTTTTTATGAAAAAGGATGTCATCTAATTTGATAAAAGCAATAAAAAATGAACCTAAAATTACAATTAACATTTGGCAGGAAAATCACTCATGTCCAGCATCACCTTAACACGCGATGAAGTGGAAAATATTTAATTATAAATGAAATCGTCTTTATATTTTAAAAATGCGAATTTTTGCTGCATCGACGTTCTTTCCTTTTTATTTTTTGCTGTTTCAGAAAACACATTCACGTTGAATATAAGTCACTTAAAGAGGAAGACAATAAATAATTATAATAAAAATCAATAGATCACGCGTCAAATGTAAATTTTCAGAGTTTGAAATTATATAGAGAAGTGATTTTTCTTCGTAAAAATTACTTTAACGCACAGAATGTTGACGGATACACTATAAGCACTTTTATTCCAATTTAATCACCGTGTCCACGCCATTGCGCGCACCTAGGTCTTACGGGATCCCAGATCCGTGTTGCGTCAGATACCCCGAAAATGCACACCTGCCGAAACCATAACGCACACTGCGAAACGTGATATGAATAAAAGTAAAAAGAAAAAATATAAGCGATAATCGAACAGAAATTTCCGGAAAAGGTATTCTTGCGACAGTCTATCTCGACTAATATTGATAAAATACACATAGATATTGATAACTATATCACATTGGTTATTCTTGCTAGTTTCCTTTTTGCAACAATTTGCACGATGTGCCTCGCAGAATTATTAATTGACTATTTCACGATATTAACACTGATAGGCTTGTTATCACAGCGTTTATCGGTTTATCACACCGATGTGTGGCTAAGCGTTCCAGCTCGTTGCACGGAAGTTCGTGATGATTAATAACATACGTCTTATACATATACGTATAAAAGAAACATAAACAAGCAGTAGATTTCCCTTTCAATCAATTATTTTTTTAAACAAAAGAATTAAAAATTTTGATATACGATACGATTGAAAATTACCTCAAAAGTGTGAAATTTTCTTATGTATATATTTGTGAATCTCCCTTAAATTTTTCCTGTAAATCAAAATCTTATTTATCTTAATTTACGGCTCAATTATCGTGTTAATTAATATTACATTACATTGCTACAAACTTGCAGAAAAAGTCGCGATCAAGTTTCCGCTCACGAGAGTCTCTCATTACAAAAGTTATCCTTAATCCGCAAGGCTGATGAGTTTACAAACGACATGTGTAACACTATATATTAATACTACGCCATGCGTAATCGTTATACTGTAAACGTGACATTTCATGATATATTGTAGTATATGTATATTCGCCGTGCGTTCTCTTTTCGCAATGATATCGATGCGATATCAAAATCGATTGCTTTCGTCACCGGATCACTGATCGCGGAAGTGCAAAAAGTGCCCGCGGATTTTCCCGCGCAGCATCTCGCCGGCTTGTCATCATCGTCATCGGGCAGATCGCGAGTTCGCGGCGCGCGTCGCCGCGGAGAAAGGATCATGCTCTCTCGTGAAAACACATTAACGCGATGCGTGTGCGATGCTGCAGTTGTAGTGCGATACTAAAGATACTAAAGAGCGTTACGTTCGAACCCCTTGCTCTCTCGCATCACCCTCATCTCGACATTGGCGCACGCAGCTGCGAAATAATCGCAGCAAGAATCAATTCTCGTCTCGAGATATCGAAAAAACTTTTAATAAATTAAACATTATATTGATAAATATTATATTAATAATTCTAATTATCATATAATTATAATTATTAATATATTTAACACAATTATAATTATAATTAATGTACTAATAATTAATTAAATGATATTAATATATAAATATTATATTAATAATTAAAAATCATCGCGCAAGTTGTATTACTGAAAAATTGTTTCTTCTCTGAAAAATTGCATTGAAGAAAAAAATGCTGACGCGCGTTTTAAAAAAAAAAGTTCATAAACAATCGATTGAACGAGACGCTAGAGTGTTTATGGCGATAATTGAAGGCTCCACGTAACAAATATTGCACAAATGTCATTAATGTAAAAAAAAAAATTTATTTTTAACTTATTTTAAGATTATCGCGAAGTTTTTCAAGAAAATTTTAAGACAGGCATACTAATGAGCCATGCAATGAATAATGTATTTTAGCTGCACATATTCTACGCCAATGATATCGCACGTCCGTCCGTTTTGTCAGTGCCGCGCAACCTTCTCGTCATTATCATCGCATTATCATTTACACGCAATCTATTGGTGTGCGTGACCGCGTGTAAATGTTACTTAAATACAAGCGCGAATCGCCGTGACAATTGAATCAGTCAGTGACAAAGCTTCTCTCGTCGTGTTTGTCTATATTGAATTTGTTTAAAGTTTCTCTCGGTATATGCATATGGAATTTTTACTAAAATTAAAATCAATATAAGTTATATATATATTAATTTACAAAGAAATTGTATGGCAAAATTGAGCATAAATTAAATAGCCAAAGCTTAAAAGCGATATTATGTCTATCTTAAAAAATTAAACCTAAATACTTTTACACAATTGACTTTAATTGCTGTACCGCATTTCTGTTTTTTTCTAATCTATACTTTTTCCTTTTTTATAAAATATTATTTGAAAGTGTATATTTTGTAATTTTTGTAATTAAAGTAATTAAAAATTTTGTATTAAAATTAAGCTTTTCATAATCTTTTATTACTCTTTTACCGCAGCTTATTTTTTTGTCCATATAAGTCCTGTACAGATACGTATTTTTTATTCTACAGACAAAATAAAAATGCAAATAAAAGAAATATTACACACATATTTTGTATAAAATTATAAGAATTGTATGTATTATATTCACACAAATTGTGCAAATTCCAGGGCTTGAATACTTGCATACTTTAGAATTAGAAATTCGCTGTTTTTCATAAGCTCGTATTTTTGTACACAAAGAAATTAATCAAAGATTAATAATAAGATAGATATATATGTATAATATCGCTGTTAAGTTTCGGATATTTAATTTATGCTTAACTTTGCCGTATAACTTCTTTGTAAATTAATATATATAACTTCTATTGATATTTTAATATAAAACAATAGTTTTTATAAATATATAAAACTATACTTATAAATAATATAAAACTATGAGACAGCTATATATGTTTTTTATACTATTATGGTTACAAAAATAGAGGCTAAATTAATTTTTTAATTGACGTAGAGTAAAATATTAGCGATTTTCCTCTATTTTTGAAAAAAATTGAATGTAAATGCAATTGGGAATTTATTAATTTATTGATTACTGTTCCCAGAAGAATCCATATCGTTTGAGCGTCACTGCGTGACAGGCTTCCGCCTTGAGCGTACGTTTCTCCCCTTTCTAATCCTCGCGCCGCGAGTTCCCGTGGCGATATAAAAATAAATTTTGACGCCAGCACAGCGATCCGCGCGACAAAGACACTTCGATTTAAATCATCTTATTAATTCTTTTCGAATCGGCGAAATAAATTTTACGGACAAGTAGATAACAAATCTCATCTCTTTTCTCCTTTTGCTGCAATTTGCAAGCAATTAAATTTCGAGTGTTATAAATCAATACACAAGATTAGATTCTCATTATCGCGATAAAATTTCAAAATGAAATACGTGCACATTGTTTTGAGAAACATATTACATAATTGATAATATGCAATCATGCATTGATAATGCAATCACTTGCATCTATGATTATTGTAGCATCGAGAAAAGTATAATATAAATCGTTCGTCTTGTAAAATATAATTTATAACCTATGAAATGAAGTACCTATATACATTATTAATTATTTGAAGTGTTTATATGTAATCAGTTTGCGTGTTAATTCCTCAAATTTGCAGTTTCATTAATTTTACGTACCTACGGTTCATTCCATCCTTTGCTTTTGCGGCCATTTTGATAATGTCTTTTTTAAGATAAATAAATCACACACACGTACAAAACATAATGTACTACACATAATATATACGACACATAATAACTCACGGCTTTAGTTTCGACGGCGGATTCACTGACAATTATAAAAATTACATTGCTTTCTATTCTATATACTTATATTATCACTTTTTTCTACATTCTTTTCCCGCACATTTCTCTACAACTTTATAAACTTATTTAACTCGAAAGTTTCGCGTCCTTGTCGCAAAACGTCGCCACCTACTGAAAGTAGATTTTAGCGCCATCTGTGAGGAAAAAATGAAAGTAAATCAAGCGCCATCTATGGGGGGAAAAGTGAACCGCTAAGGCAACAGCTGACGCGATCAGCTGACATCAGAAACGTCAAACGCATATGTACACTGCAGAATTGATTTATAATAGAGAAGGAGGATTTAAAAAGTATCTGTGGAACTTTTTGAAGTGGCATTTTAGAATTTGTCTTGTCTTGAGAAAAGCAGGACAGAAAAGTATAAAATAGTGTTGCATTTTTATAAGGTTAGATAAAGAATACATAAAATCGTGTCATAAGTAAACATTGCCTTTTCGGATTGAATTTAATCGCATTGGCGAAAATGAATCACGTGGAGATCGAGGATTTCTATCACCACGATTTCACCACTGTTTCCGAATGGGAGGTGTTTATCGCGCGGCTTGAGGAGATCATGCACGAATGGAAGCTGTCCCACGCAAAAATCGCGAGTCCCCTCAAATCGGGGGACTTTCTCAATTGTCAATGGCACGAGACTTCGGAGAAAATAAATTTCGCAGGTTCATATTTTACAGATATTTTAAACTTCATCGATATTTAAGAACTCAAGAATATTATATCATGGTATATACAATGTTGGATATAAAATGTGATAAACAAATGATAAGGGAAAAAGTTCTTGATAAAGAAATTGATTCTGCAATTTTCATATAAATTGCAGCTAAAAAAATGTAGTATTTGTGAAATATCTTGTACAGAGACACAAGATAATTATAATGGATAAATTTAAAAATTTGTGGATTCAACATTATATACCAAGATTTTAATTTTATACATGCCACATTACAATGCAAATCTTTCAAATATTAGTTTTAATCTAAACTTTTTAGATCCCATGTTGACAATTGTTATATGTATATTTCAGATGTAGAATTTTTGCTGAAACATTATAAGTTAAAGAAGGAAGATGAAGAGGAGGATGTGACAAATCCTCAGGAGGAGAGTGAAGAAGAATGGATACAATGTCAAAAAGATGCATTGGACATATCCAACGATTTTGTGAGACTCAATGATAATTGCATGGAAATAGTTCGCTATTATGGTGTTCGAGAATTCCTCGTTTTAATACCAGCTCGAAAAGCAAGTTTAACAGATGAGACACGGATAAAAATTCTCCTCAGTTCATTAACAATTGCAACTAACAATGCAAATTGGTAAATATAGTTAATTTGTGACACTAATTTGTATTTTTGATGCAGAAATCTTTATAATTTGTATGCATTTTAGCTACATTCCTGCATTGGTGCAGGTACAAGAACTTTGGCAGAAAATGTATCTTGGATGCTGTGCTGGTAAAGGAACTTGTGTGAATCTCGATATGGTACATTTAAAAAAGGTTCCGCCACATTGCAAATACCTCACTGGTATGCATCTTTTATATTTTAATTTAATTTAAATAATATGAAATTTGTTTTGTAATTAAAATATTTACCAGTAATAAATTATATTGATTTTGATAATTCTAATAGACAAAAGTTTTATAAATAGGTGTTATTTACAGGTTTACTTGCTCTTTTCAAGCAGAAGATAGGAGAAGGTTGTGGGGTAAAACTTGATTCCATAATGGTGTCAGTTAGGTTTTCCTACTTGTTGAAGGATTGGACTAATAGTACATGGACGCAGGAACCTCCAGATTTCGATTTTATGCAAGGGGAAACGTTAGGCGTTGCTGAATTGGGTAAACTTCCCTTCGGAGCGACCTTTGATCCTGTTGGGTACTTAAACTGAATATATTGATTGTCATCAGAGGCGTAACAATAAAGAAAGCGATTTTTTTCGATTTAACAGAAGTAAAGTTAATATAATAACAGAAAGAATGTAATTTTATTTTTCTATAAAGAAATAAGTTTTGCTTTTGTGCCCAAGAAATATCGGTTACGCCTTTGATTATTGTAAAATTTCTAATTTGTGTGCGAAATATCTCTTATTTTACATTTTCAGAGAACTCAATCTATTCACCACGTGGCCAGAAATGTCGGATAATGTAGTTGTGGATAGCGAAGGATATTCGGATCTCGAGCCGCAACTCGCTCCCGAGTGGTCGGTGCAAGTAAAAATGGTAACTTTACCGGCTTGTCTACTCGGCGAGTATATGTCGGACTTTCTGCATTTGTGCAACAACGAGAAAACTATGGTGGAGTTGCTAGGCGAGAACGCATCTTACATCTACGATGATCAGATGCTGAGTTCGGCTTTTAACGTGCTCACCGAATCTAGAATACCCACGATTTCGACGGTCGTGGGCAGGACGAACATGAAGAAGAATAAAAATGTCGAGGGTCCAATCTCGGAGGAGATATTATTACCTATACTTTACTTCCTCTTCCCGGACGCGGACGATACCTCGGTACGTGTAGCCTCGTTAAAGCTTCAATGTTCTATTTTAGACATACAATTTTCACATGTATATAAAAAAGATTTGTATGTATAAACGCAATTAATAATCGCAGATTTAAAAACCCTTGCAGAAGTTTCCTTACAACGACATCACTACATACAATGTGGAGGACGATCAGTGGAAAGGCGTGAAGACTTGCACAATGGACAGCTTAGTATGGCGTTTGTCGGTGGTCGCGGCGCATTGCACGCACAATCTTGGCGGCGCGACCGCACTGGCTCAGCTTTGGCACGAATTCGTGCAGGAGATCCGATTCCGCTGGGAGAGAAGCATCCTGATTCCGGGGTGAGTAATGAAATAATTTTTTTATTCGTCATGAATACGTCTGACGAGTTCGGCCTCGTCATCGATACGCGCACACGCGAATGCACGTGCGAATACACTGTTATAAAAGACTTTAGACTTTACGGTGAGCTTTATAAAGTCTCTCATTTTGCGTCCCTCCCGTTTTTCCTCTCGTTCAGAGGGACGTCGAGAGCAACGTCGAGTTTTCACGATGTATCAGTTCATTTGGTCACGTTAGAGATCTCTAAAGACTTCTCTCTAGAGATAGACACTTTGATTACAGTCTTTGAATAATAGAACCGTAAAGAAATTGTGCATTTAAGCTAGCCAAAAAAGACGCTCTCGGCTTGTTCGCTTCAACGCGATTTGGTAATTAGAGTATTCTCTTACATAAAACTGCTTAAAGCTACACAAAGACATACATCTAAGGCTTCTCAACCTAACACTCGCAGTTCGTACGTATTTTCACAAATATTACATATTGTCTGCCGCGTTATATTATCATCGATCATGATCGAAGCTGATAAGTTTCGAATGTGCCAAAGAAATATTTTTTTATCATCACGATTACACCTTTGATTAGACCTTTGAGAAAATTAAACTCACTTATATAAATATTGTGACGAATATTTTCTAAAATAAAACACTCGACGCATTCGAGACTCTTCTCTCCTCCGATCAGAACTGCTGTCAAGAATTATCTAGACGCTCTAACCGTCGCTTCAGCTTGAAAACGAATCGCACGAGCGAGAATCATGGTCTATCAAAAGGACTGGTTACTCTACTTGAACACGCTTGAGCAATAATGTACGATGAGATAATGTTGAGGCCACCGAATTTTAAAGCGGCACGAGGCCGCCTCTCGTAGTGGGATTGCGAGCCATGTAGATGTCCATGTCGTGGTCGGTCCAGTTGTTCTCGTCGTAGTTGTTGAGGGTGTGTGTGGAATCCGCTAAGCTGTACCGACTACCGGGTCGCGGCGGATTTGATTCGAGATTACGGTTGCGCGATCGGGGTCGTTGCCGCCTGGCCGAAGAGTGTGGCGGTAGATGATTGCTGGAAAAGTTTGACCGCGACATCCGGTCCGAGGCGGCCGCCAATGATTGACGCGATTGTCGTAATTCTGAAATGTTAAACGAAGATACGTAATTAAAAAACTTGGACGAATGCTACGGAACAAGCGCGATGATACGATGTACAGTAAACTGACCTGGTCTCGTGTTGACGAGATTCGAGGCCAGTGCGGTGTTGGCGAAGTACCGCGTGGAGTTGTTGGAGAAGCTGTGCTGGGACTGACCGTCGGCGATCGACCGGGCGGACACTTTGCCGCTGTAATGTCCGATCTGGGAACGCACGTCGTCGATGCAGGACGCTCTAGTGATCGACCCTGAAATCCATTTTACATAATTTATTACCTTGCATTTGCTTATTTCTACAAAAAGTATCAGTTCTTATATTTTTATCTTAAAAAATAAAAAAATAAATAAAAATTAAAAACTCACCTTGTCGATCTATGGGGAAGATCCTCGGCCGCGGTATACTCCTATTACTGTAAGCCGATACTTGGTCCCACTCTTTCTGAGCGTTGTAGGCGCTCAGAGTGGCCATCGATGCCAGGGGTCCTCCGGGGCTGGGCGTCGGACCGACGTTCGAGCAACAATTGACCGGTAGGCCGGCGATCGGGCCACCTATCTTCGTCTGATCGATGCTGTGCAGAGTGTGTAGCTTGCGGGCACGACGTCGATTCGCTACCACGAAGATGATCACCGCGACGACGATCGTGGCGCAGATCGCCGCGCTCGCGGCGATCGTGATCTTGTCCATGTTCGAGGTCGGCGAGTTCTCCGTTCTGACCTCGCGGCACTGATTATACGGCACATTTGCAGGCGTAATGTTGGTCTCTTCCAGCGAGACCACGCAAACCACGATACATTCCTGCGATCGAAAAGTAACTTGAATACAATTTTCACGCTCTAGATAAATTATAATTTTAATGAAAAGTTAAATCAACATAACAAACAATTAAGAATACAGCATATTAAAGAATGTTTTAATATTTATAAAGCTTTATACTCTTATTCGTGAATGTCGAATAATGTCTCGGCACAATTTATTAAGGATATTTTACTAAGATTGTGTATATAATTATATAATGTAATATATTTTTATATATTATATTATAATATATATTTTATATATAATTTTCTCAAGAGAGTTATTCGAACAAGTTAAAGTGTGAATACAATTTTATTCAGGTACCGATATATTTCTTTGAATGTCCATTGAATATCAATTCTTGACAACAAGATGTCTTTCTTACCTGCGAAGGCACGTTCTTGATCTTGAACTCTCGTTCGCTGGCTTCAAGCGGCGGTGCCTGTTTGAAACTGTTATCTCCGAACAATCGATAAATCACTCTAAAGCCTAGAATGTTAGTTGCTTCAGTATCCCAATATATGATGACCGCGTTATCTTGCCTGAGTACATCTTTTACAATGATATCCTTGTCATTCGTCTTTAATTTGTACAATGGCGATCCCAGAACCAATGGCGGTCTCGGTTGATGTTGTATCTGTTCCTGCGACTGCTTCGGCGGCGATGGAGTAGTTCTTACGACTACGACATTTCCGGTTCGCGCAGCGGTTGATCGAGTCGTCGGGACAAAGGTTGAGGATGGTACCGTTCTTCTCTGTTCGGTCGACGACAATACGGTCACTGTGGTCGTAGACAGTGTACTGGTTATTAGCTCGGTTGTGGAAGCTGTGGAAGGACGAACGGTTGGAAGATGACTATTGGCATCTCCATCAGCTACAGTTTCCGTTGGCTCTCTAGTGTCCACACTCTCCACCGTTCCGATTCCGATTATCTCTGGTAGTCGATCGCAACTCATGTCTACATATAATATTTTTCAACATTGAATATTAATTTTCTTGACACTTCTTTCGCTTTGTATATATAATATTATTTATATAAATAAAAATTAGTTTTAAGTTGGAATAATTTAATTTTTTATATATTAAGAAAAATTTCTAAACTAAGAATATTGTGAATTTTTATCCTAAATTAATTAATTTTTTAAATTAAGTTTTTGTTCTATTTTTAACTAATTTTTTTTTAATATTACATTTTCAAGACTTGAGAAAATCTGTCAAATTTAAAGCAAACATCGCACATAAGATTTACCTTCGGGATCGATATTATAGAAGTTTCTATCCTGCAAACGCTGCGGACTACCGCAAAATTGTGGCTTGCGTTCGCGGCTGGTGACCTGTAGATCTCGCGTTTTGATCCAATCGACGATCCATCGTAGCCGGCAGTCACAGACGAGAAACCGTCCGCCCAGACTTAGGCCGCGAAGGGTACCGTTTAGCCGAGCAAGCGCTTCTTCCGGTACCGTGGACAACGGGTTACCGTCGATCGCCAGCAGCGTGATTGACGGGTTCCCTTGAAAGGCGTTGACCGGTAGTTCGGTGATCAAATTGAATCCAATGTCAAGCACCTGGAGAATATCAATCACTTCATAGAAAATAATCTAACTTAATTTGCCACTTGCGTTAAGAATATATAGTACGATATTAATAATTAATATATTTTTTCGAATCATAACTGTCTGAAAAATTTCCCGGATTTTCCACATTTCTTTACTTACTCTCAGATCGTGGACGCTGTTAATAGCCCCTGTAGGGAAATCCGGGATGAGATTGTTCAGCAGGCTCAGGGAGCTCAGAGTGTTCCTGATGCCGTGGAACGCGTCAGCGCCGATATTCTGAATCAGATTTCTTTCGAGATTCAATCCCGTGAGGGAATCGAGACCGTCAAAAGCTTTGGCACCGGATGTACCGGGAAGCTCGCGTATACTGTTCTGCGATAGATCGAGAAAGGCCAAGGTCCTCAGACCTCTGAGCGCCTCCGGCACCTTCTTCTGCCGCGTTCCCTTGAGGTTGAGATTCTTCAGCGTCCTTTCCAGGCCGCGAAACGATCCCGGAGCGAGAGTGACTTCGTTGTCGGACAGCTTCAGCGTGATCAGCTTGGTGCCGGCGAAGGCATTGTCGTTGACCTTAGTGATCTTGTTCATAGAGAGGTCGAGCACGGTGAGGTTCTTCAGCATCTTCAAAGTGGTGGCGGGGATCTCCGCGAGTTCGTTATCCTTGAGATTCAGACTTTTCATGTATTGCTCTTGACCCTTAAAGGCTTCCGGTTCGATGCTCCTGATGCGGCAACCGGACAGTTGCATGTTGTGAATTCTCAAGTTGGCGAGCGAGTCGTTTCTCAAGACGCCGATCGTACTGTTGTTGACGTAGAAGAGATCGATCGACGTTTTGGTGGCATAACGTCGCATCGTCGACAACAGTTGCTCATAATCGACGATGTCGCACTGCACCGAGAGTTCGCCGGCCAGATTGTAGTCGCAGATGCACGAGCTCTCGAGATCCACCGTGTGTTGCGCCCACGGACAAGCGGACGTCGTCGCCGCGACGACGAACGCGCTTGCCAGCAGCACCAACAGCTCCTTCGGAATTGCATCTGAAAGTTGAAGTATAAAAATAATGAAACGAGGAGAAAAATCAGGAAGATTCTTTTTGCATAGAAGTCGATAGACACGAAATAGATAAATCGACGAATATTTTAAGCTTTATTAAAAATTATTAGAAAGCTGATTAAAGCGTTAATTTGTTCATTAAATTTTAAAATATATTATACTAAAATAATAATACGTTTTAAATTATATGTGTTATAATACTTTAAACTTGAATTATTTTTGACAGATATCAGCTGATTTCTGTCAAAAAATATTAATCGCAACTAAGGTATTATAATATATTATTATTAACGCTTTATTAATGTCTTTTGACAGAAATCAGCTGATTAAAACGTCAATTGCTAATTACATTTTAAAATAAAATTATGTTGTAAGAATTAAAATAATAATGTTATGAATGATATATTATAATACTTTAAACTCCAATAATATATTTTGACAGAAATCAGCTGATAACTGA